GAGCAGCGCTGGGCCTCTTGTATCAGCTGATGGGAAATGCCCCCCGCCCCCCCCCCCCATTCCCCTGCATAGACGGAATTCCAGGGAACCAACCCCACCAAGGGGGGGGGGGTGGAGGGGAGCAAGTGGACGGTGATCCTCAGCATCAGAGGGAAATCTAAATCCACACACGTCACCTTGGATTATTGTGGTTTCTAACCCTAGTTTAGGGCTATATTTGAACATAACCGCCTGGTTATGTGACACGCTGCCACTTGCTGACGTTGGAATCGCCACCAGAGCTGTCTGAAGACGAAAGTGCAGAGGAAGGAAGTGGTTGAAATACGTTGCCTAACATGGCTTCTTCAGATCTCTGGAGGTTCAATACAAACACTCATCAAGCTGTGATCTTCTAGCAGAGCCCCCCCCTCGCCCCCCCCCTCAGGTGGGGCAGAAGGGGGCAGAGGTCCATGCCCTGCAGCACACAACAGGCAGGAGAAGGCAGAGAGAGGAAACGACACCCAGGCACCCTTGGTAACAAAATTTATTGTCATGATTGAAGACAAGATTTATAAACGTACTCTAGCAACTTGTTGATAAAATAGCAAGTATCCCAACTTCATAGTTTGTTGTCATTTGGAACAGAATGGAAACCAGGAAAGGGTTATGATGTCCATGACACTGGGACCTTCCGCGCCACAGCAGCAGCAGCAGCAGCAGCAGCGCGAGGTCCAGGGGGTCCTCCGTGTGCCCAACACCGCCAGGGAAACCAGCATCCAGGATGAAAAGAAGGGGAGAGCAGTGGAAAGCAGCGCACGCATTTCAAAGCTCACAAAACACCCACCATGGTTGAGGTCTCTGAGGAAGAGAGCAGCCTCTCCTCTGGCCGGACCCAGAGAGCAGCTCAGCGCACCAGCAGGCTGTGCTTGGGCCCGTCCACCCTTTCCAGCTTCTCAAAGTGTTTCCTGGCATTTCGGATGTTGATCAGCGTTGCTGCAGAAGCTGGAGGACAGGGGGACCGAGGTGAGGCCCTCCGCCTGGGCGAGCAGGCCGGGCGACAAGGGTGGTAGAGGGGCAGGAAGGGCAGGCTCCCCTCCCCTCCGCACCTCAAACCAACATCCCCTGAATTGTGACTGCCACCTGGAGCCCCCAAAGGCCTAACCCTGCTCCCCCACTTACGTATGGAAGGGTCTGACATGACGACCATCACGTAGGTGTTCGAGGTGAAGATGTCAATGAAATCAGCAAAGTTGGAATTCCTCACTTCCATGCTCTGGAATGAGGCAGCCAACTTACTGGCGGGGGGGGGGGGGGGGGGAAGGAGGGGGGGGGAATGTCAATTGCTCCACCCCAAACAGGCTCCTTACTGTTCAGGCCTCCCTCCCCATGTTGCTCTGATGACCCAGGGCTCTTTGCTTGTCCGTCACCTCCAAAGAAAGGCAGGCCCACTCATTGGAAAGGCCTCCAGGACCCCCGTGGGGTCAACGAGAACAGGCATCCGTGGTACCCAGGTGCCACTGGCCACCTCAGAGGAAGCTGCCGTGGAACTGAGCCCCCTGCCAGGCGAGCATCTGCTGGCAATCGAGGCTCCCCCAGGGAGCCATTCCGGGTCTCACCTGCAGCTCAGCTTGAACTGCTTAATGATGTTGCTGATTTTCTCGAACCGGTGAATGTCCCGCTGCTCTTTGCACTGGTAGTGGGAAATGACCTGCGAGAGGAGACATGGAAGGCCGGCCGGCAGGCCTTGAGCCACGAGAAAGACAGAGGCGCCTGAAGCCTGCTGGGCCTCCGTTCCCAGACACAATCCACGCGCACCCCCCGTCATGGCAGAGCCACGGAGGAGAAAGGAGTGGATTCCTCACAAAAGCCTGGATGGAAGAGTTTTGCCACGCAGTACAGCTGCGCACCGTGGTTCTCAGAGTGGCCACAGAGAACCAGAGTTCAAGTCATGCCCGCCCCAAGACTATCAGAGTGGGGGGCCAATGGAATGGAGGGAGGCCTATTTCACGAGGGATCTGACTTTGCAAACCACAGCAAGACCGGTGGGAGGCTTGGCGGACCCTCCCCCCAATAAGCCTTCCCCAGGACGGCCCATCTTCCCACTCACCAAAAATGTGGCTCTTTCAAACAGAAGAACTTCATCCGCTTCAATGATCTGAGCAAAATTCCTGAGGTTCGTTTCCAGCTGCTGGACATTGGGAATAAGCTGGTAGACTATGCTGGACCATGCCTGCCAAAGAAAGAGGAAGCCCAGAAGGCAGCTGAGCTCTTGGCCCACCCTGAGACTGACCCCAGGTGAAGGGGGCGGCAGGACCCTCCCCTTGGCAGTCAGCAAACGGAGGAAAGCACCCTTGAGGGGGGAGGGACAAGGGCCCACTTCGTGTCCCTGCTCCCCCCACAGCCCAGAGGACTCTGGAGCAGCTCTTGACGGGGCAGAAGCGGGAGCTGCGGTGAAACTCGCTGCTCCTAAGCGGAAGGCCCCCCTTTTGCAGTCTGTGGGTAAGCCAGGATCTGAACCCGGGGCTTCCTCCCGCTGGTGGCTTGTAACTTGCTCACGCTTAGCCACCATGGTAGCAGAGAAGCACAAACCTTGTAGAGCGTCTCATCCCAGATGGACGTCCTGAAGCAGGAGCATTCCAACGGGCGGGACAACCGCTTCAAATCCTCTTCCCGCTCCTTGAAAATCTAACGGAAGGAAATGAAAGGAGACCCCAATCAATAGAAGCCTCACCAAGGAAGCTGCCCTCTTGGAGAGACAGGCTCACAATCATCTCAGCAAGGCCAGCACCGCTGGGAAAAGGGAACCAGCCGGAAAGGCCTCGGCAAGGAATAGGCAGAGAAAACGGGGGTGGGGGTGGGGATTCCCAGAACTGATCAAAAACAGGGGGTGGGGGGGTGTTTCCTGCCTGTGCGCCCGGAGCCGCCTGCCAGGCTCCGGGGGTTCTGCGGTTGGAGCACCTCCTGCAGACCCCCTCGGGTGTTGGTAGAGGTGGCAGGCATTTTGGCAAAGCCTGCCGTGAAAAGGAAAAGCAGCGGTCCCTGAAAGAGGAAAGCTGTGGGGCTTTAGCAGATGGAACTACAGGAGCCCCACCGGGGCAGACCCAGCCCGAAAGCCGGGAGGGAGGGTGGCCTGGTGACCTCCAAGGGCTACCCTTCCTGCCAGAGCCTCCGACCGAAGGCCTCTCTGGAGGCTGACCCTCACCAGGTCGCGCTGGTCCTCCTGTACTAAGTCCATTTTGTGGACAAGGCAGAAAATCTTGGCATCGGGAGAGTTCTGGAGAATGGCCTCCAGGCAGGACTGATAGTAGTGCATGTCTTTCTCCAGCTCTCTGCTCTCCACATCAAAGACATAAATAAGGACCTCCACGTTGCGAAAGATGTTGTCGCGCTGACTGGTGAAGTAGTTCTCCATGAAGGTGTCCTGGCTGGAAGGAGGAGGAGAGCCACCCTCATCCGACAGGAAGGGGAAGAGAGGAGCGCTCAGCTGGGGACGCACTGCTGGGAGGGGGGTTCCTTCCCCATTTCCCAGGTAAGGGAGCGGCTTCTGCTTGGACCTCCCAACTGCCTGGGGCCCTCGACACCCCTCCTCCTCCTCCTCCTCCTCCTCCTCCTCCTGCAAGTAGCAAAAGGGCAGACGAAATAATTACCCGCCACAGTCCCACAGGTTTAACACCAGGTTGCCCAGAAATCGCACGTGCGAATGCTCCACGTCAACTGGGGAAAAGACGAGATGGATGGCAGGGGCAGGAAAGGAAGGAACCTGGGGGGTTAAGCCGGAGCCTTCCCCCTCCCTTCGCCCAACGCTCCTCCAATAAGCCAGCCAAGCGCTGGGCTGACCGGGGGGGGGGGATGCCCGGGGGTCTCCGCCCCCCTTACTTGTGGCTCCCAGGCGCCGCGTGTCCCGCGCGATGTAGTTGGCGAAGATGATGGAGCGCATGCTGGTCTTGCCGGAGCCGCTCTTGCCCATCAGCAGCACCTGGGCGGCGGGAGAAGAGCCGACGTTGCCACTGCGGAGCCGCCCCCGCGGCCCGAGCCGCCCCCCCCCCCCCCCCCCCGCCCGCCTTACCTTCTTCTTCATGGCTGCTGCGTTCGGCATCCCACGCCTGCAAAGACACGCCGGGCGTCAGCGGGCTACGAGGGAAGGGCAGCCCGCGCCCCTCCTCGCCCGCCCCGCTTGGCGCTCGGGCCCCGCGGCCTATCCCGATCCCCGGGAGGCTCCCCACGGCCCTCCCCGGATGGCTCGGCGGCCTCTTCCGCGTGCGAGCGGGCGGGGGACCCCACCTGTGCTCCGGACTAGCCCTGCGGCCGAGGGGCGCGGGGGCAGCAGCCGCTCCGCGTCGTCGTCCTGTTCCCCGTAGGCCTCACAGCCCCAGCCTCGCGTAGGTCGCTCGCCCGGCCTCGCCCGGCTCCGGACAGCCCAACCCACCGTGGCACCTCGGGACAGTCACGTGAACCGCTCCGCCGAGCCGGAGACTCCGCCCTCCTTCGGTCAGGTGACGTGACGCGACGCGCCGATCACCGAGGCAGCGGCGCCTAGACTGACCCTCCCCTAAGAAGCCGGGGAAGCCATGCTTCTTGAGGGAGCCGCGCTCTCCGGAGCTCTGCAAGGGGGAAGGCGGCTGTGCGCGATGGGAGTGGCGGTTTCTCACGGCAGCAAAACCGGGCTTGCTGTTCGCGTACAAAAGACATTTCGGGAGGGCCCCGGAACGTGGAAGCCCAGATAGGGTTTTGTCTGCACCTCCCAGGCGGCGCTATAGATACGCTGCCCCTGCGAGGGAGGCTTCAATAGGGGCGGAACTGCCCAGTCCGCGCCAGATGGGGCGATCTGGGCCAGTTTTTCACACAGCTTCCCATATGGTCTAGCGGTTAGGATTCCTGGTTTTCACCCAGGCGGCCCGGGTTCGACTCCCGGTATGGGAAGAGATATGTTTTTGTTTTTTTGCTCTACCGCCGGGGACGGAGGGCGGGGGAGAAGCGGGACCGGGTGCCAGCGCGCCTCCTCACCAGGGTCTCGCCCCTTGGCCGTGGGGATCAGCTATTCGCAGCCCTCGCCCCTTTCCGCGATTGGACGGGCCAGTTCCGCGGGGCGGGGCCTTGGGGAGAAAAGGCACCTGCGGGGATCGCGGCCGGAGGGCGATGGAGGCGGCGGCAGAGACAGGTGGGCGCTGCCTGCGGGGTGGGCTGCCCTGGACCCGGCTGCGTCTGCTGGGGGATGCGGACCTTCCTCCCGCAGAGAAGGCGGCGTCTATGGGATGCTTGGCGGACGGTCGGCTGACCCTCCCGGAGGAAGCGAAGCTGAGCCGGCCAAGCGACCGGGCGAGACCCCCGGGCTGCCCTAACGCCGCCTTTTCCCCGGCAGGGCTGGCGGGCGACTCCCTGGAGGTTTTCTTGCTGGCGTTTGACCAGGCGGTCCGGGACTTCGAGCAGCGGGGCTCTGCTCGGCCCCCGACGCCCCGGGAGGCTTGGAAGGCGGCGCTCGGGGGCAGCCTCTACGAGAGCGGCACCGACGACTCGGGAAGTGAGCGCCGCTTCTTCCTTCCAGGGAGGAACGGGGGGGGGGGTCCTCTCGCCTCGCCTCCCCTCCGGTTTGGAGGTGCTGCGCCTGGGACTCTGGAAAGCGCCCCGCTCGGCTTCCCGCCTCGCTGCCCTGGAGAAGCGCAGCCCTCCCGCCCCCCCCCCCCCCCCCTCACAAGTGGCTTCTCCCCCGAGAAAGTCGGCAACCCTCGGAGAGCCCCAGAAAGGATGGCCGGGGCTTCCTTTCACTTCCCCGACTGGCTCGGCTGATGAGCTGCTGCCTCTTCGGCTTCCCCTCGCAGCGCTTGCTGAAGAGAGCCGCCCTGGGGGGAGCAAAGGGCCGCCAACTGAGGGAGTATTTCTCTTTGCTTTCCCTGCAGGCAAAAGCATCTCGCCCGGCAGCAGCCTGAACAGCAGCGAGGAGGATCTCCGAGCTGGTGGGGCTTCTTCCCAGCCTCCTTCCTCCACAGGTACAAGGCGGAGACCCCATTTGTGGACTAGAGACAACCATTTAGGGCTCCCTTATTGTCCTTGGAGGGGTCAAATCCCCCTCTGTTCCCCGCTTCTCCCTCCCTCCCTCCCTCCCTCCTAATTCCCCAGTTCCACCAGCCTGTGTGGCCCTTCATGACTAAGAGAGAACAAACTTCGTGGCTGAAGATTTCATCTGCCCCCCTTTTTTTGGGGGGGGGGGGTATTTTCTGAGATCCCATTATTCCAATCTTTTATTTGCTCTTTGGTTCAATCAAGATTTGTGACTGTGACAAGTTGACCCATCTTATCTTGTAGCTAAGCTCGGAGACACCCGCGAACTGGAAGCGTTCATTGCAGACCTGGACCAAATCCTGACAGGTATATGTGGGGTCTGGGCCCTGGAGGAAGCCCAAAGGGGGAACCGGGCTTCTGCCTTTGTCTGGGGGGGGGGGCTTCTGGAGAGCCCCTTGGGGCAGAAATGGGGCCACAGATGCATTTGTGGGATCTCGGGGCTTTCCGAGAGATGCTGACACAGCGGAGTCGGTGACGGGGGAAGCCTTCCAATCCTCTTGGGAGGTTCTCCTGGGTCTCTGCGGTCTCTGACTCATGCCGAGGAGGCTGGGAAGGGCCGCCCAAGGCAGGAGGTCTGGAGGGTCCGTCTTCCTTTCTTGTAGAAATGTGACCAGCTTCGCTCTTCAAGACGAAAATCTGCCTGCTGACGTCTTGCTGAATGGAACCAGCCTTTTTTGCCCTGGGAGAAGCCCCCCACCCAAACTCCTGACACATCAGCTATGACTGCCCCGAAAGCCACCCTACCTCGCAACTGGCTTCTCCGCAGGGAAGGTATCGCAACTGTTTCCCGATACTCTGTTGGTCTAGATAGAAGTCAAAGCAGAAATCCAGGAAGTCTGGATCCCAAAGGTGTTCTGCCAGTGGATTTATTTTTGAAATTCCACTTGGAGGAGAAAGCCGGATTGCTTTTTGAAATGTGACGGGGACTGTTGATACGGAGGGGAAAACTTGGGCAGGGGGATGTCCCTTCGGTTGCTGGCCTGCTGAGGGAGACCTTCGAAGGGGGCTTGGTCAGAGGGGCTGCATCTCTTTCTGCCTGGAGCTCCTGAAGGAGAGAAGTGGGGGGGAGGGGCTGGCTTTTCTCTCAGGGGGGGGGGAGAGGGGGGGGGGAGGGGGAGGAGAGTGTTAGGAGTTTCATCGGAGGAGGTGCGTTGGGCCACAGTTGGGGTTTTATTGATTCTGGTTTTTATTTTTTGTATAATACTATTCTATGGTTGTGAGCCTCCCAGAGTTCTAGTTTTAAGATGGATGGATGTATTTTAAATATTTTAAATAAATATAAATAAAATGCTATTGTCTTTGTGGGTTTTGCTGTAGATGAGTTCATAGCTGACCACCTTAGGCAATGGAATCAATGCCGAAAAAGAAACAAAAAATAAGCATATATCTAAAGGTTTGCAAGGTGGAATAAAAGGAAGTTTTTATTCCTTGCTCTTTACACTCAATGCTGCCTTTAATTCTCTGCTCCGGGAGCTGTGGCACCCATTTCTACAGTCACCATGCCCTCCGCGCTACTGCTCACACGTCGCCACTCGTTCCCGCTGCCCAGGATAACTGAGGGGATGCCGCCCGAAGCCGTGATCGGCTGCAGGGCTGCGAGGGAGCCCGAAATGCCATGGCAGCGCGGCTCAGAGCGCCTCTCCCTTGTGGCGAGCCACTTCCTCAGCCCACGGGCGGGGTTGAGCAGCTCCGGCTTTCGGGGGGCCCTTCTCGTGCTCGTGGCAAGGGGAGCAGAGCGCTTGCAACCTGCCGAAGCCCGAGCGTGGGGCGGATGGGTGGCTTCCGGGACTGCCCTGTTTCAGCGAGCGGGAGGGAGAGGCAGGTCCCCCAGGTTGCTCGTGCCCCGCACCCCCGAAGGAAGAAGGTGGCCGCGGTTCTTCGCGCCCGTCCTCAGTGGCTTCAGCCTCAAGAGACGATTGCTTCGAATCGGTTTGCGGTTGGGTTTCAACGGAAGAAAGGCAGCTGCCTGGAGCCTCGCCCTGACTCCCTTTCTTCGGAAGTTCCAGGATGGAGCCTGTAAGCGCCCAACCCCCAGAACTTCGCCTTACCCGTAGCGAGACCCGCGCCCACACCCGCCCCGGGGCTGCACGGGGCAACAGCCGAAGGGAAAAGCCCATGGCTGACACTTGTAACATCCTGGGAAAGAACCACCTCCTCTCTGGACCCTGGACCGCCGAGTTCTCCTGCTGAACTGGGGAGGTGGACTGAAACCCAGGCAGAGGGAGCACCCCCAAATTCCTTTCTGCTGGTCAGCATCCAGAGACTGCGGTAGGCAGCCAGCCCCACCGAGACCTCACTCTCTAGGGTTCTTTCCCTGGGGGGCATTCCGTCCGCACCTGTCCCAGCAAAGATTAGATAAAAAAAAAACAAATTAAAAATCTTCCAGCCGTTTTCAACAAGTGTATCATAGGCTGGTAGATCTCTGAGCTAGGGCCTTCCACCCCACCCCAAAGGTGCTGTGTTCAAACTCGCAGGGCTATAAGGAAGACATCACCGCTGCTAATTCAGGCATAATGCTTAAACCATGGTTGTAGAATAAACCCCGAGTGGCTGATTAACGGGAATACGGAGCCCCAAAACATGATTTCTAAACCACCACGCTGGCAGCCATGTCTCTTGGCAAGGACATCTCAGCCTTGGCCCCAGTGGGTTGCCACCCACAGGATTCTGGTGTGGACGCCCAGGACAGGGGTGTCTGTCTGTCTGATTCTCCTGGGGCTGCCTCCTCCAGGTCACAAAGCGGTTGCGACACAGGCAAGTGAGCCCCCAGCCTCACTTTCCTTAGAGCGCAATCTTGCCCTGTGGGGCCTTTTAGGGCAACCCAGCTCCTGAGCCACAATTAGCCCAAGAGCCAAAATAGGGCTCTTTCTGCTCCCTTCCCCACTATCTTATGTGTATATGTCAGCTACACCCATGGCTGCCTGTGGCCTTGTCATGGCTAGTGAGCATTGATAGCCAGCTGCCTCCCTGCCTCAGCACGTAATCCTGCCCTTGCCCTGTCTATGGAGAGTCCCAGTCATCCAGGTCATGGTCATCCCCGAAGCTGCTTTTTCAGCTTCTTGGACGAGAAGTGAAACGTTTTCAAAGAAAAGCCCAGATGCCACTGGAAAGAGCGCCTTTGGGGCGGCCCCTGCCATGCCTCGTGGTGGGGAGTTGAAAGCAGGATGTGGGGATGAGTGATGCTGCAGCAGGAAGCCAGAAGTCAGGCGGCGGCTCCCGCCCTAAAGAAGGCATGTGGGTTCATTGGGGGATTTCCTGGGAAACCCAAGTTGAGAAGCGAAGGCAGCCAGGAAGTGCCCAGCCCTTTGCCTTCAGCTTCCAGAGGCTGCAGCAGAGAAGCTGTCCGTCTTAGCAGGCCAGGTTGGGAAGACCAGGAGGCCCAGGTCCCTCCCGTGGCCTCCTGTCCTGGCCGTATGAAGGGGCTGTGTGTCGGGAGAAGCTGATCCTGTCCAGGGGGGACTGGGGGCTCCTCCTCTGTCCTCATCTCCCCTCCCCAAGCAAACTGCTTTGCTTGTGTCACTCCCTGGCCTGCTGCTATTTTTAGCTGGTACTGGGTTTTTAATAGAACTACCTATCTATTCCTGTCCGTCCGTCCATCCATCCATCCATTTATTTGTTGTATCACACCTTTTAAAATTATTGTTACAAATAACTCAAAGGAGAGAGAGAGAGAAAGAGAGAGAGAGAGAGAGATGGAGAGTGGGAGAGAGAGAGACTAGCTCAAAGTAACCCAGCTGGCTTTCATGCATAAGGCAGGACTTGAACTCACCATCTCTTGCTTTCTAGCCTGGTGCCTTAAGCCCAAGACCAAACTGGCTCTGTTAAACATGAAAAAAAGGGTTTTAATAGAAAATCAAAGGAACGTAAGTACATAACAGATATTCAGATTAGGTAAGTCAAAAAGAGTTTCTTCAACTGCAGGTTAAGGGAAGAATTGGTGGCTGAAGTAGTTCCAGTTCAAACAAACTGAGGCAGGCCAAACCATCTTCCTGCCCAGCCCTAGTTTGGAAACTTGCAAGCACGAGAACGTCACAAGAGGCATACAAGGTGTGAGAAAAAGACAAAGTGTGAGATTCTTTGTGTTGCTTTACTTGGCCCCACGCTGGGCAGCAGGAGACTCCTGACCCCATTTTGCCCCCCAAGGCAACCCATGTTTGGAGGTTCTTTCACAAGGATGTGGCTAGCCCAGTGCAGTGACCTCAGCCTCAGTGAGCAACCCGGCAGCCACAGAGCCGAACTGCCCGGTGAGAAAGGGTGACACACGGCCCTTGAGCCCTCTGGGTAGAACAGGAGTGCCTGAGCCAGAGGGGCATTCAGGGGTCAAGACCTGCATCACTAGGCTCTTTTGAAATGGGGGGGGGGGGGGGGAAAGGGTGGGTTCCTCTTTTGCTTCCCTGGAGAGTTTCGGGATCCCGTTGTCAAGCAAGTACTAGAAAACAGGTATATGACCATGGTTATGAATACATGAAAGGAGACAATAGGGCAGGGGCGGTAGGCACGTTGGGGCGCATATTATGCCCGCCCCTGCAGGCCTCTTCGGAAGGGGGTGAGGTCAATAGCAGAGAGCCTAAGGTGAAAGGGTTTGGGGAAGAAACCACAGAGTCAGGTAGAGGATTCCAGGGCCGCTGGGCGGAGGAGGCCAGGAAGGGTCCAAAGTGGCCCCGGGGCCCTTAGACATTTGGGACCTGTGCACACCGGAGAGCTGGAGGGTTCCGGAGCTCAGTTCCCTTGCGGGGCAGGTGCTGGTGCGACGCCTCCCTGCCGGTGGACCGAGGCGCATCAGGTGCACCTGGACCAGCCGCCTCCCCTTCGGCTTCCCTGCGCAGGTTCCGGGCATCCCGCAGTTCCACTTCAGCTCGTCTCCGGGCCGCACCGATAGGATCCAAGGGGGAAAAGGCATTTCTCCTGCAAGGCGGAGCACACCGGGAATTTCGGCTCCCGCTCGGCTTCCCCGCGCGTTCCCGCTGAAGCCGCCGCGACCCGCGGCCCCTCAGAGCGTCCTTTCCGCATGGGAGCCTCGAGCGGCCGCGGAGGGCTCAGCCGGACCGGCTCTGCGGGACGGCGAGGAGGCGTCCCCCGAGGGAGCCCCGGCCGTGCGATGCGTCCGGTGGGCGCCGCGTTGGGGACGCCGCTGTGGCCCTCCCCGAAGAGGCCCGGCGGCAGCCGCGAGGGGTCGCCAGCACGCGGCCGGGCCCGCAGCGCCCGAGACAAAGATGGCGGCTCCAGGGCCGGCCGCGAGGGGGCTGGCCCGGGAGTCACGTGACCCGCCCTTCCCCGCGCGTCCCAATGGCGCCGCCCTCTCCTGGCCGGTGGCCGCCCGTCCGCTGAGAGGAGGAGGAGGAGGAGGAGCCCCGCCGGCGCCGCGCAGGTGAGGGCCGAGGGCCGCCGTGGGGCCCCCACTCCGGACGCCCCGCGGAGGCTCCGGCGGTTGGGCGGCGGGGGTCGCCGCGCGTTCCCTTCCGTGGCTGCCAGGAGGGTCCCGCGCGGTCCGGCCCGGAGGGTTGGCGGCTGCCCGCCGCGCCGCGGAGCCTGAAAGGCAGGAGGGAGGCGAAGCCGCGGCTGCCGGAGGGCGGGCTGCTCCGCGGGGCTCGGCCGGCCGGGCTTGTTTCCCGCCCGGGGGGAAGGCGGCCCCTCGGCCGGGGAGGAAGCGCCGCCGCGGCGAGGGCCGGTGCGGGGGAGCCTTCCCAGGATCCGCCTCGGAGCTTCTGCCCCCCCTGCCCCGGGGGCTCTTGGTGGGGCCTGGGACGGCTGGGCTTCCCGGTGTCGGAGGCGGCGGCGGCGGCGGCGGAGCTGGTCCATGGGAGCGAAGATGCCTCTCCCGCAGCCTCGGACCCTTCCAGCCGCCCCCAGGGCTTCAGGGAGAAGAAATGCTGCCCCTCCGAATTGGGGTTCCCGCCACTTGGCCCCAGGGAGAGCCGGAGGCTCTGGAGGGGGAAGCGGGCTTTCCCGCGGGCCTCCTGGATCAACCAGGGCCAAATGGCTGGGGTCCCCCTGAGCGTCCATGGGGAGCTGCCTGGGTCAGGCGGGGAGCCTCCTGGGGCGAAGGGCTTTCGAGATCCAGCCGTTTCCAGCTCAGTTGGCCAAGCGGCCTGGGGTTCTGCCAGAACCAAAGCCTTCCGGGCCCAGAAGGTGGTCCTGACGCCTGGCTGCTCCCTTGGCCACTGCTGACGGTGGGGGAGCAGCAGCAGGCCTGAACTCTGGTGCTTTTCCCTCCCAGCAGCTGCCCTCCGTTTGTCCCTGAACGTCTGGCTGGCTGGGAGAGAATCCACTTTTCTGCACAGACTGGAGAATTGCTCCAGATTCTCTGGTGCTGCTCGCGTGTCTTTTTGTTCCTGGGAAGCCCCTGAGCCCCGTCCAGAGGAGGTAGGGGCCTCTCTCTCCTGTGCCCTTGCAGAGGGGTCAGAGGTCATACCTCCCTGAGCAGATGCAGGCCACTTGGGCCTCCTGTCCAGGAGTATTTGGGCAAGGGAAGCAAAGCCTGACTCAGACGGGACCAGCTGCTGTGCAGATTTGGCCTTGCTCAGCATGCAGGAAGGAAGTCAGTCAGTTCTCCCAGTTCTTGGAAGGGGAACCAGACATTTTCTGGTCTCTGCCCCTTCCCTGGAAACCCAGAACTACTCCTTTCTGTGGAAACTGTTCAGGCTGACTGTTCCTCGGAGGTGAGTGGGTGCTGTGGCTTAGTTCTGGGCTGCTTCTCTCCAGCCCCGAGAAGAGGCCTTTCTGCGGGCCCAAAATATGCCATTGGGTTTACGTCTGCTTTGCCCTTGGACAGTTTGGCTCCGGTTGTGGGCTCAGACCCCGAGGGCCTGGCGGGGTCAGCAGGGAAACCTGTGTGGACATGTGATCTTGAGATCACCTGCTGTTTTACTGGGGGTTTAATGCATCCAGGCATTAAGCAGAGGCTGTCTTTGGGTTGTGACGGTGATGCACATTGTGGGTCCCTTGGACTTAAGAGAGATCCGAAAGCTTCGGGGAGAGGGAGCCAAGCCGGGCCTTCAGGGCTGGCCAGCCTTCCTCGGAAAGGGATCTTGCCCACCCCTGAAAAGCAGGCGGTGAAGCTGCGTCCCTTGTCTAGGACTTTAAGCCAACCGCACGGGCGCCGCGTTTTGCCCTAGCCCAGGGCTCCTAAGCACCTGCTCAGGTAGCTCCCAGCAAGAGCTGGGTGTGGCCTGGGTCCCGGGAGTCCTGACCGGCCCCTGTGACTTTTGCTGCTCTGGATTGGTAGATGGAGCAAGGGAAGAGTTGCTCCCCAACTGCTGCAAGGCCTTTTCTTTCCCGCTCCCGATTCCCAGAAGTAGATCGTCCCCGGCTTCTCCTCTCCAGACCTGGCTTGCCTCGGCCGCTTTGACCAGTTGGAAGCTTTTGGCTTGGTGGCCTCCGGTGGTCTTCACTCCCCCTCTCTCCAGGCCCATCTTAAGCTCAGGAAGTCCAGATCTTGAAAAAGGTTCTGACCCCAAATGGTGATTTTCAGGCTCAGCTTTCCTAGGAGGTGTAGAATTGCTGTCTGTCTGTTTCAAAATCCGTTTACGCAAGAGCCCCAGAAGCACTGCAGCTGTTTGGGTGGGTGGTGACCCACTTCTGACCAGGCACTCTGGGTGAAACAAGCCCTATTGTGAAACTGCTCGGGGAGCACAAAGGTTTGCGTGTTGAACTGCCAAGTCCCTGCTGATCCAGGCCGCTCTGTGAGTTGGAGGGGGAGTCCGGAGCCCACTGGGGCAGAGGGGGCGAGGGGCGCTTCCCTGGGGAAGGAGGGCCTCTGCAGACTGGCCCAGCTCCCAGAGCACCGAGGCCTGTTGTGGACCGCCTTTGCTTATTTGTGCCCTGAAAGTAACCAGGGCAACGCTGCCCCCACTCCCCTAGGGTGGAATAGCTGCCTCCTGTGAAACCACCTTCCTCCTGCAAGTAGAGCCACAGCTGGAGTAGTTTGGCTAAGGCGGCTGCTGGCCAGGCAGGCCTGGCGAGGCGGGCAGGACGGCTGGCTGCTCCCTCTTCCCTGCCCTGTGGTTGCTGTCGGGTCTGTCCCTTCTGGGCGAAGCACCTTCAAAAGCAAAAGGCAGCTGTTTTGTGAATTGTGGGTGCCAGGTCTCTCCCCTGCCCTGCCTGCCAATTCCCTCCTCTGCACTGGGGAGGGGACCCTCCCCTCCCACTTCCTGCTTCCTTCCTGGGCCTGAAATCCACCACAGTCTTGCTTAGACTTTGGCCCAGAAGCAAAGGGAGGCATCCCTCAAAAAGTGGGGGGGGAGGGAATCTCTAGGGCTGAGCTGGGGTTGGGGAGAAGTTTCCAGCCTGCTCACCTGACCACCTGCAATGAGGACCTGGCAGGTGTCTCTGGGACCTTAGATAAGCTTCCCTCAAGGCGCTTCTTCCTGGCTCCCAGAGGCAGCTTTGAAATGCCTCCCAGACATGGAGCCCCTTCTTCTCCTGCCTGGGGTGCCACGAATGCAGCGGGATTTCTCAGGTGTCTTGGAAGCCTCCCCTTTGGGTGCAGAGTCTGGAAAGGAGGCCAGGGAGAGGGGAGGTGCCCAAATGACCGGGTAGAGGCCCCCCAGGGAAAGATTCTTTGGGCCCCTTGCTCAGCCTGGGCTTTCGCTGGCTGGAGCCTAGGCCGTCTGACTTTCCAGGAGGGCTGGGCCGATGAAGGGGAGTCCTGGGCCTGGCTGGCAGTGGGGCTGGGCTTCCTGGGGCAGCTGACGAGAGAACCGGCCGCTGGGTGAGGTGGACCAGGGGCCGGATCCAGCGGTGCGAGGCTTGGGGTCTGGGAAGGGCCCCCTTGGCAGAAGTGACTCCTGCCTCCCTTGCAGGTGTGTAGTGCCCTCTGGCCATGAGCCATACGGGTTTCCGGCATGGCAGTTTCCAGGGTGGCAGCAGCAGCGATGAAGACCTGGTGGAGGTGGCAGGGGGAATGCTGGACTTCTCCATGGCGGATGACGTCCCTCCTCTGGACAGGGAGATGGCGGAAGGTAACCGGAGCCAGCTGGCGATGATGCTTCCCCTGAGGCCTCGTGGCTCCCCTGCCTAAACAGGGGTGGGGTGGTGGTTTGGGGGTCCCTGTCCCCTGGGCAGACTTCTAGGCAGGAGGTCACCAAATTGGCCTCTTAGCTGACCCTGAAGACTTGTTGATGTTTGCGGCGGTAGAGCTTTCCCACCTTATGCCAGTGTGGTTGGCACCAGGGCTGCCAACAGCTTTGCTCATCCCAAGCCCCGATGGCGTCTGTGTGTGTTCCCCGGTTTCCCAAAGCCACCCAGAATATTGACCTGAGAGCGGAATGGGAGGCCACACCGGCTCCTCAGCTTTCCTCACTAGTGGATCCCAAACTATTGGGAATCCCCTGGATTTCATGAACAGGCGGAGAGCCTTTCCGCTGGGCATGAGGACAACGAAGGGTGGTGCACTGGCAGCAGGAACCTGGTGGCTGAGTTTGGCTGTGATCCTGTGGAAGAATCCACCGAAGCAGAGCTAAGCGGACTGGGTCCTGATCCCCCCTGACATGGGGACGGGCACCCCAAGGAAGGTTTCAGCCACCCCCTGTCCGTCCAGCCCAATCACCGTTTCCTGCCCTTTAGAGGGGGAGCGGGTTTTGGCAAAAAATGGGGCAAATGAAAACGCCCCTGTCCCTGGCTTGGGGACCGTTAATGTGCTGAGATCCTGAGGTGCTTCCTTGAAGCCCCCCGGGGCCTTCTGAGGGTCTCCCTGGGCCGCAGGGAAAACGAAATCTGGCCTCTGCAGGCAGCTTTGGGACAAGGGGCTCTCAGCAGCCACCGAACGGTTCAGCTGGGGGCTTAGAGCTTTTCTGCAGCCGTTTTGCTGCCCCTCCCGCCTTCCTCTCCCGTGAAGCTGCTTAAAGATTAACTCAGCTCCTTGGAGCCACCTTTGTTTTCCCGGAGGGACTTTGCGTTCCGTCCTGTGGGTGACGGGAAGGAAAGTCAGGTGGCGTCTCCTGACCCCCTGCAGGTTTCTCCTCGTACAACGGAGGGGGGATGAACGGGCCCAGGCAGGTGATGGACTTCCTGCAGGAGCCACTCCCGGGCGTGGGCACCTACGAAGACTTCAACACCATCGACTGGGTGCGTGAGAAGTCTCGGGACCGCGACAGGCACCGAGAGGTCAGTCGGGCTTCCTCTGGGTGGGGACTGTGGTCAGTGGGAGGGCCGGCAAGGGGGGGGGGGCAGGAGCCTTTGGGCAAAGCTGCTGTTTCAAGTGGCATAGCTGGCACAAGGCCGATCTCTCCCTGGTGCTGATCACTGGCGCTCAGGAGGCCCAGCCGGTTAAATGGAGGAGAAGGCAGCCCCTGCTCTGCTCCGCCTTGTGCCTGGGGGGAGGCCCCGATCCTAGGCACAGGCTCCCCATGGGGGGTGGGGGGTGAAAGCCTGCCTCTAAACCCCTCCCCGTCCCCAGATTGCCAGTAGAAGCAAGGAGTCCGCCTGGGCCTTGGTGCACAGCATCAGTGACGCTTTCTCGGGGTGGCTGTTGATGCTGCTCATCGGCTTGTGGGCAGGTGAGGGGCCGGACTGCTGGGCGGAGCGGGGGTCTCGGTCAAGCCCCTCCCCTTCTCTGGCAACCTTCTCTGCCCACAGGGGCGCTGGCCGGACTGATTGACATCACTGCCCACTGGATGACAGACCTGAAGGAGGGCGTCTGCCTGAACGGCTTCTGGTACAACCACGAGCATTGCTGCTGGAACTCGCCCCAGACCACCTTCCAGGACCGGGACAGATGCCCCGAGTGGAGGACCTGGGCGCAGCTGCTGACTGACAGAGAGGAGGGGGTGCGCATCGCGGGGGAGGGGCACCCGTTTCACAGGGGGTCCAGCGAGCCTCATGGGCTGCCCTCCCGCTTCTCGCCCTGACAGGGAGCCCTGGGCTACGTCCTGAACTACTTCCTGTACGTCCTCTGGGCGCTGCTCTTCTCCTTCCTGGCTGTCCTGCTTGTCCGCGGCTTTGCTCCCTACGCCTGCGGCTCGGGGATCCCAGAGGTGAGTCCGCTCAGGACCCGCCCCTGCCTGCCTGCCTGCCTGCCTCCCTCCCTCCCTCCCAAGGGCTCCTGCCTGGGGTTGGCCGAGGGACTTGGCGGGGCCCAGGGCTGCCTCCCACGGGGGCCTTTTTGCCTTCCAGATCAAAACCATCCTCAGCGGCTTCATCATCCGGGGCTACCTGGGCAAGTGGACCCTGCTGATCAAGACGGTCACCCTGGTGCTGGCCGTTTCATCGGGCCTGAGCCTGGGCAAAGAGGGCCCCCTGGTCCATGTCGCCTGCTGCTGCGGCAACATCCTTTGCCACCTCTTCACCAAGTACCGGAAGAACGAAGCCAAGCGCCGGGAAGTAAGCTCTGGGTGGTGGGGCTGCCGTTCAGCACAGGCCTGGCACGGACGCGGGGAGAGTCTGTTCCTGGCCCCTCTGGCCTCCAGGGCACTGAGGATGGCTGTTCTCTGGGCAGGTGTTGTCGGCTGCTGCAGCCGCTGGCGTATCAGTGGCCTTTGGCGCTCCCATTGGAGGTGTCCTTTTCAGCCTGGAAGAGGTAAGGAGCTCCCCCCTCCCCCCCCCCGTCCTGCCCGGGCACTGCCCTGTGCAGAGTACGAGTGGGCGGCTGAGTGGCCCTTCTCTCCCCCGATGCAGGTGAGCTACTACTTCCCGCTGAAGACCCTCTGGCGCTCCTTCTTCGCTGCGCTGGTAGCGGCCTTCACCCTACGCTCCATCAACCCCTTTGGCAACAGCCGCCTGGTACTCTTCTACGTGGAGTTCCACAGCCCCTGGCACCTGCTGGAGCTGGCGCCCTTCGTCCTGCTGGGCATCTTTGGGGGGCTCTGGGGGGCCTTCTTCATCCGCAGCAACATCGCCTGGTGCAGGCGGCGCAAGACCACCAAGCTGGGCCGCTACCCAGTGCTGGAGGTGCTGGGGGTGACGGCGCTGACGGCCCTGCTGGCCTTCCCCAACAAGTACACCCGCATGAGCACCAGCGAGCTGATCTCGGAGCTCTTCAATGACTGCAGCCTCCTGGATTCCTCCCAGCTCTGCGACTACCTCAGCACCAACAGCACCCAGGGCGACGACCTGCCCGACCGGGCGGCTGGGCCAGGCCTCCACGTGGCCACCTGGCAGCTGGTGCTGGCCCTCTTGCTGAAGATCTTCATCACCATCTTCACTTTCGGCATGAAGGTGAAGGGCGAGGGGGCTGCTGGGCAGGGAGCCAGGCTGGTCGGGGGGCTCGGGCCCTGCCCCAATCGCCCTTCAGAAGCCGTGAGGCCTTGGAAATAGTCTGATGTGCAGGTAGTCCTTGACTTGTGACCGTTTGATGACAATTCAAAGTTACGACTGCCTCCCCTCAAGCATTTCTGGTGGTTTGCAGCGCATTTTGCTGATGGCCGGCCTGAAACGTCCCCTGGGGGAGCCGGAGTCCCCGGAGGATCGGGGCATGGCCACTGTCCAGAGGGTCACAGCATCCGGCCTGACTGAGGGGCCCAGGGGCCGGGGAGGGACAGTTCAGTCCCTGTTGAGGGCTCCCTGCCCCTTTGATCCAGGGGCCGCCGTGGGGCGGGAGGCCAGGGGCCCTCGTGGCCTGGGGGGGGGACCCCCGTCTCTGCGCAGGGCTGGTCCAGAGACGAGGGGAGGCTGATGCCAGCTCCTCCTGCAGGTGCCCTCGGGCCTCTTCATCCCCAGCATGGCGGTGGGGGCCATTGCGGGCCGGTTGCTGGGCGTGGGCATGGAGCAGCTGGCCTACCACCACCACGACTGGCGGATCTTCAAGGGCTGGTGCAGCCCTGGCGCCGACTGCATCACGCCCGGCCTCTATGCCATGGTGGGGGCTGCCGCCTGCCTGGGTGAGTAGGAGCCCCTCCCATCAGTTGGGCACCTGGGCATTTCCAGCTGCCCCCAAGTTGCAGACCGATTGTGGCCAAAAGGGCAGCACACGGCTCCCTTCAGATGGGAGGGAAACGTCGGGGGGCGGGGGGGGGAGGACGGGGACAGTGCTGCTCTCCCCGCCCCTCCCCTCCCCAAACCGGCCTGAGCCTGAAAGAGGCTTTTCAGCCTGGTGGCTGTGGGCCGTTGAGCTCAAGCCCAGCGCAGCCTCAGGGATGGAGGTGGGGACAGTGAGCTGGAGGGTCAGCTGGGAGCCCTTTGGCCACATCCAGCTGCTGGCCTCCGGGAAAGGCCTAACCCCCGAAGCTGCCCCCGGTCGCGGTTCCCAGGGTGACGGGAGCCCTTCCGAGCCGATCAGTGGCTGCTTCCATGAGGTCTTGCTTGAAAGGGCTCTTTCTGGGAAGGGGGGCAGCGCCAAGGGAGATTGGCAGCCGCTTCTTGAGGTGGCTGCTTTTTCTTGGCCCTTTTTCTTGGCCCTCCTTCGCTTCTGTCCCTTTGTGGTCCTTTCCTGTCTCTCGGTGGTTTTTAACCCTTCCTGCTGAAAGAAATCTCTCCGCATGATGTTTGGGAATTCAGGCTCAGGAGAGGCGACCCAGGGAGATGCCCGCCCCGTCCCGGGCAGGCGCCCTGCTCACGCGGCCCTCTGGCTCCTGCAGGTGGAGTGACCCGCATGACTGTCTCCCTGGTGGTCATCATGTTTGAGCTCACGGGGGGCCTGGAGTACATCGTGCCCCTGATGGCGGCTGCCATGACCAGCAAGTGGGTGGCCGATGCCATCGGCCGGGAGGGCATCTATGACGCCCACATCCGCCTGAATGGCTACCCCTTCCTGGAGGCCAAGGAGGAGTTCTCCCACAAGACCCTGGCCATGGATGTCATGCGCCCCCGACGCAGCGACCCCGCCTTGACCGTGCTGACGCAGGACAGCATGACGGTGGAGGAGGTGGAGGGCATCATCAACGAGACCACCTACAGCGGCTACCCCGTGGTGGTCTCCTGGGAGTCTCAGCGCCTCGTGGGCTTCGTCCTCAGGCGAGACCTGGCCATCTCCATTGGTGAGCAGGGCCGGGAGCACCCTGGCAACGCAGGGATGTGGCCAGGGGTGGGATTCTACCTGGTCAGACTGGTTCTATAGAACTGGTTGATACAATTCTGCACAGTTCGGAGAACCGGCAGATCGCACCACTGGCTGGCCCCTCCCCACACCTCACCGCCCGCTCACTCCTTACCTGGCAAACTTGCCTGCCAAGTTGCTATTTTTCTTTTTTTTTTCCCATCAGCAGTTGTGCCAGGAGATTTAGATTAGCTAGAAAGCAGGAAATTGTTGGATTTCTTGCTTTCTAGCTAATCTAAAAGCAGAGCTGAACCTTCCTTAGGACTGAAGCTTCTATTTTTCAATGCAGACTCAGATAGCAGATAGCAGAATAGTAGATCTGAGTGAATCTGTGAGCAACTCAATCTGCCTGCCTGCTTTTGGGTAAAAGTTGCTCTTTTTTAAAAAAAAAAAACCCAATATTTACATACATGGTGTGTTGTGAGCTAATTTTGTGAGTTTGCTTGCAAGCAAATTTTATGTGACAGATTCAAGTACCAGACTGCAAAAATATAGATATCTTAATGAATCTGTGATTCTGGGAGCAACTCAATCTGCCTGCTTTTGGGTAAAAGTTGCTCTTTTTTAATAAATTCAATATTTACATAAATATTTATATTTACATACAAGCCACGGCCACCCAGTTACATGACCACTAAGCCACACCCACAGAACCGGTTAAGAAATTTGAATCCCACCCCTGGTTGTGGCCCTTTCCATCTCCCGGGAGGCAGGTGGGGTGTGGGCTGCCCCCCCCCCCAGTTCTTTACCTCTCTCTTCCCCCCCCCTCCAGAAAGTGCCCGGAAGAAGCAAGAAGGGATTGTCAGCAGCTCGGTTATTTATTTCACCGACCACTGCCCCCCGCTGCCCCCCTGCTCGCCCTCCATGCTCAAGCTGCGCAGCCTTCTGGACCTCAGCCCGTTCACTGTGACCGACCAAACCCCCATGGAGATCGTGGTGGACATTTTCCGAAAACTGGGGCTGCGCCAGTGCCTGGTCACACACAACGGGTGAGGAAGGGGCGGGGCCTCTGCCAAGCATCCTTCCTGGCTTCTGTCGGCTTCGTGTGGCGGGAAGGCCGTCTTTCTCTGGAGCATTCGTTGCAGTGCAAGTCCTGCCTTCGTGGGAGGGAGCCCAGAGGGGCAAGAGATCGGGGTGGCCAAGGGATAGATACGTGGTGAAATGCAGCTGGTGACATGCCCCCATCCTGAGGCGGTTTCCAATGGGGCAGAACGGGGGGGGGGGGGGCAGGTCACACATCCAGTAAAGGTTTGGAAACACTCTAGCTGGCCGGCCCCCTCCTGGCTTGGGGAGGCTCTTGGCGTTCCCTTTAGGGCTTCAAAATGAAAGACAGGACAATTCACCAGCAGTAATGAAAAAATATATTGTATATACAAAGTACACATGGCTGATAGCTAAATGCTCCCCGGCTGGCAAGGAATTCGGGGGAGCCCAGAGGAGCCGCTCAGCCAGGCCTCGAATCGCCACACAGGCCTGGTCAAGGCCAGGGGCCCAGAAGGAGCTCTGGAGTCTCTAGGCGGGACCGTCTCTGGGCTGGGGGGCGGGCAAGGCAGCCCTGTTGCCTCTGCTGGGGCCGCAGGAGGCGGGGAAGGGCCCCATTGCGGCTGAATGGACTGCAGGGGCAGAAGGGGCTCCCAGGTCTCCCCTGAGGCCAAGCGCTTCCCTCTCCTTTTCAGGAAGCTGCTAGGGATTATTACCAAAAAGGACGTCCTGAAGCACATAGCCCAGATGGCAAACCAGGACCCAGACTCCATCTTGTTCAACTGAAGCCTGGAGGGGCGGGGCAGAGGTTTTACTTTGCCCCACGGACTTTGGCCGGAGGACTGAGCTTGGCCTCTCTTCACGGAAGATCCAGAGCCGTCTCCAGTTTCTCCAGGCGGAGCAAGCGATAATCATGTTTTATTTTTTTTCTACAAGATAATAACCAATTGCACTATACAATCTGTGGAAAGTTGTCTTCTCTCGGGAAGGAGCGCCTGGTTGTAGCTGCGCTGGGAAGGAGGTTCCATGCCAGAGTAAAAGAAACGCTGTAACTGAGTCGGCCGCGGCTGCTTCTTGCCTTACCCAAAAGGGGTGCGGGGTGGGGAGGAACCCTCCTGCCCGGACTGGCCTGGCGGGGCGATGGCCAGAAAGTCGGTTTGGGCTGCAGCTGGGCCGAGAGTGGGGCAACAGAGCATTGTGCTCGTTGGTGCCCCTCGGGAAGAGGCACCCCAAGCCAACTAGCTGAACCTCCGGGCCCTCTCTGGCCCTGCTGTCTTTTCCTGGCGCAGCCGGCCTCCTGGCATCCCTGTCTTTGGGCGCCCAGGCAAGGGGAGCAAGAGGCCGAAGCGGAAGAACTGCCCAGACTGGGAATTCGGAGGGCTGCTGGCCAGGTTGTGCTGCTTTCTGGGCTGAACAGGCCAGCTTCGCGCACTGCGTGACCAGGACGTGTGGCTGGCAGCCCAGGGTGGGCGTTGTCTTTCAGAGAAGCCAGATGAGGCCGAGGATGTCGAGCCAAGGGCTGGTGCCCCCCCTCAGATGCAGGGTTCCCACCAGTTAGAAACGGGGGGGGGGGTTTTCCTGTACTGCGCCTGTGGGTGACGGCCCTCCCTCTCTTTTCAGTGCTCCTAATGGCAGCCTGTTGTTTTGCCTGCACCCCACAGAGTCTGGCTTCCGAATTAAGCCACGGTCAAGGGGCATGCGGTGCACTGAACCAGGCACTGACCAATAGGGGGGGCAGGAGGGGCATGCAAAATGCTAAGCCAGAAAGAAGCAAAACCCTCTGGCCCTGTGGGAGATGCAGCCCCTGAGGCAACTCGGCCTGGGGCATCCCTGGAGGAAACGAGCCGAGAGAAAAAGGCCAATTCCCAGCAGGGTTCAAGGCCCAAAGACCAGCCTCTCTCCCCACCCCCACCCCCCCGCCCCCCGGGAAGGGATAAGGAGCTGTTTGGGCTGCTGGCGCAGGCACGGGTTGCTCCTGGTCGCTCCAGGCTTTGGCTAGGGCACATGCTGGGGGCTAGTGCCGTTCCGGGTCACACCCAATGCGTGTGTAGGGAGAGGCAGCGGGAAGGTGTGCCCCGGGTGTCCCTGGAGGGGCTCGCTCACTCGGGGGACCCACTGACCTACATTCGTGTCCTGGCAGTAAGACTTGTGAACTGCCGCTGGGTGTGCGAGCTGCTCAGCTTCCTCCAGGCCGGGGAACAGGTTGCTCCGTGTGCAGGAGGGCGTGTGCCCAGGGAGCCCCACATTTCTCAGCTGGGATGACTGGAAGAGGGCAGGCAGTGGGGCGATGGTTGTTGTAGGGACGCAGAGGAGGGTCTCCAGCCGCAGGGGCACGTCCAGGAGAGCCAGAAGCCTAGCAGTTGCCAGCCGGCCGGCCTGCGCAGCTTCACCGCCTTTCTGGCTGCTTCAGAGACATGGTCACAAGGGAAGCTCACAGCAACCAGAGCTTCCCTGAGGGGCTGCAGCCGCCTCCTGCTCCCCCTCCCCGCCCTGCCTTTGCCTCCGGCCCAGCTTGGTCACTGCTACTAACGGGGGAAGGAAGGGTGATAAGGGGGCCCAGGCATCCTCCAGTGGTTCTGCGTGGGGGGACGGTGAAGCCCTGAAGCCCCCTAGGCCACCGTCCCCAACATCACACGTCAAGGCGGAAGGCTCCAAAATAGCTGCCTGCCTCATCGTCGTAGTTGACGTCCAGCGATGAGACGGACACAAAGAGCTTGTCGCCAGCTTTGAGGTCAAAGAGGCCTCCCTGGTAAAGGGCATGGAGCCCATAGGCCGCATCCTGCTGCCAGCACTTGGTGCCCACGCCCTTCAGCAGAAGGATGGTCTGCCCGTAGACGCTCTGGAGATTGATGCACTGCACCAGCTGGTGGCCCAGGGAGCGGGCATCGGCCCCCTCGGTGGGGTAGCGGAAGTAGATCTGGGCGTAGACATAGTATTTGCCCGCCTGGCTCACCTGCAGCTGCCCGTCCTGGTAGGTGAGGTTCTGCAGGTGGGCATGCATGGTCCTGCTGGCCCAGTGGCGGATGGGGTGCTGGCAGGACTGCTGCAGATCCCGGAACTCCGGTCCCAGGGCTCCTATGGGGTCGGGGGACCCAGAAAGTCAGCCCAGGCAGTGGAGGAGAGGCGCACACAACTCTGGAGCTTTTTGGGGTGGGGGTGGGGGGTGGGGAGGGCTGTCTTCATGAGGACACCAAGGGCAAAGAGCTGAGAAAAACCCAGCCACCACACAGCTCACGAGCAGCCTGCCCGCCCGCCTTCCCTCCCTCCCTCCCTCCCTCCCTCTTGAGCTGAGCAAGGCCCTGCCCCAGCCCCTCTGGGTGAAGCCCACGGGAGGCCCAGCCAGGAACCCCCCACCCCTGGCATTCAGGGGACCTGCCATCTCGTCTTTTGCCCGGCTGTAGACACAGGCAAAGGAAGCGCCCAGGACCAACCGCGGAGGTACTCTTGATGACCGATGGCTGCTTGCGTCTTGTGCAGCCATCTGAGGCCCCACAGCACTCGGGACACCAAGCCAAGGAAAGGGCTGGATACCTGCAGACTCACCTGGCCGGGAAGGGCTCGGCCTCCTCAGGGTGAGATGTGCCAAAGGCCGGCTGCCCAGCTGCCAGCTGGAGTTCCTCTGCTTCTGAGAGGCACTGACTAGGGAGGAAGGGCAGCAGAATGAGAGAGGGAGGGGAGCTCCTTGCTCATCTGGGGGGGGGTGTCTCTGCAAACAATCTGCCCCTTAATCTGCCTCTTGACCGGTTCTCCTTCCCCTCCAAGTCTGGCCCAGTCGCTTCGCCCCTCATTGGCAGACTCACCGCTTGGGACGCTCCTTCGGATGACATTTTCGGTAATCTGGAAGGGAGGGAGAAAGGAGGCTCAAGGCAGGGTCCAGCACCCCCTCCACCGGGGGTTGTTTTGGATTCCCCCCCCCGGGGGTCACCCTCCCAGTGGGCAGGGCAGGACAGGCAGGCAGACCTCTCTGAGCAGAGCTTTGGGTCCTCGCGGTGGGTGGAAGCCGATGGGCAGGGCAGGGCGACGGATGCCCAGGCAGAGGGGGAACCGCTGCTTGGGCATATTTCGGAGAGGACTGGGCTGCCCACCCCCCACCTCCCCTCAAGCCTCCCGACAGCCCCACGGCCTGCACTCCTTGACTGGGCTCAGGATTTGTGGCACCGGGATCCCAACGTGGAGAGGCCTCTCACCATGGCAACGTAGTCCTGGATGCCCAGGGCCAGCTTGAAGCACGGCTGGGTGCTCATCAGCTCCTCCAGCTCCGAGAGCTCCTGCAGCCGGTTGAGCAGCTGGAGGCACCTCAGCTCCTCCGAGGTGCCCTGCGTCTGGGCCTTCAGCTGGGGAGGAAAGACAGAGGGGTCAGGCGGGGTCCCAGGTGGTAGCAGCAACGGGGAGGGGGGTGGGGAGGTGGCTTCTCACTGCTCTGTCCACTCGGGCTGGAAGCCTCCAGGTTTCCCCTGGAGACCTGGAAGATGCCTTCCTGCCACGTTTGCCCTGAGGACGTCCGTTTAAGGGCATGGCAGAGACCTTTGCTCACCAGCAGTAGGTTGCGGCCCTGGAACCAGCAAAGGGTTCGGGGGGGGACAGGCACCCTTGCCATGAATTCCCCCCCACCCCACAGCAGACGTTAAGCCAAAGGAGCACGCCTGGCCCAATTGTCCTCACTCTAGCTGGCACGCTGGGCACCCAGCCTGAGACCAGGAACTGGGTCAGGGGTTGCGAAATCAGCACCAGCTGTAAACAAAGGAAGGCGCAACCCAGCAGGACTGGCGATGCCAGCCGACACACGTCCTGGGCCAGAGCTCCTGCGGGGCCCTTGCCCCGCCAAGAGCTCACTCAGAGAAAGGTAAGGAGCACCCAGCAGCCTCGGAGATGCCCCCCCTTTCGCTACTGCAGGGGTGGGTCTCCCGTTTAACCCCCAAGTGTCCTGAAGCCCCCCAGCCACAGCCAACCAGGAATGCTGTTCCTGCTTCTGCCTGCGGGAGATGCCAGCCTGATCATCTGCAGCATCGACTTAGCTGACTAGCAAGGGCTCAAGAGCCAAGGACAAGGCGGGGAGCGGGGCTTTGCGCAGGCCTGTGAGGAGCCCATCCAAGAGGCTTTCCTAGCAGCACAGGCTCCCTGGGCGTTTTTGCAACCTCAAAGATTTGGAATGGCTATTAAGAGAAAACGAAAGCCAAACAAATCCTGCAAGTTGCTTAATCCAGGAAACTTTGGCCACACCCATCCTTCCCCCATTGCAAAACAAGCAGACACACGCCAAGCCCTTGCCCGCCCCGCTTTCTCCCAAGTGATAACAGGATTGAGGGCTGGGCGGAGAAGGCCTGCAAAAGTCTTGTAAACATTGTGAGCACAGGGCACTGTGAAACTGACACACAGCACAACCGCTCTGGAAGCTGCCTCTCCTCCTGGTTGGGATGCAGGGTGATGGGGCAGGCCCCAAAGGGAAAGGAGTGTACCTGGCAGCCCTGGGCAACTTTCTGTTTGAAAGGTCTATAAAAGTTTTAAGAGCAGATTCCAAGAAGGAACAAGGAAGTGCCTTTCCCGGCAGGGTTAATTATTCTACTGAAAGTTTTCCTCCAAGTCAGGGCAACACCTTGAGGGCCCAGCACAACGGCCCTCTGCTAACCCCTTGGCTCAAGAGGAAGGCTGGCTTTGGGGCTCCTGCTTGCCCCTCTGAAAACCAGGGGGGCCCATTCAGGCCTTCCGGTCTTATGGGCCGAGCATCTGACTGACGTGAAGCCCTCCAGTGAATGCTCCCACCTCCTCCAAGCTGGTCTGCTCCTCCCAGCAGTGGAAACCCCTCAGCATTATCCAGCGGAGAAGTGAGCAGACGCAGCTCAGCTCCTGCCTCTTGGTGGACCTGGAGGACCCCTTCCCACACGCCTCCTCCAGCCAGAGGGGTGGGCCTGTGTTGCTCCAGGACTAGGCCAAGTCCCTCCTGTAAATACTGTTGTCCTGGAACTCAGGCAAGGAGCAGATCACCGGGGAGGTGAAAGGGGCTGCCGGATTGGGCAAAGCCAGAAGGCTCCACAATCTCCTCTGCTCCTTATCTTGGCCCCTGGGATGGGGGCATCGGGCCCCTGGCCACAGCCCACTCGCCCTCTGATTAGCTCAGAGGTGCGGAACAGACTGCGGGTGGGGCAGCCAGGCAGGGAGCCCTGCTCAGGGTCCACAATAAGCGTCCTGAGCAGATCCTGCAAAGGAAACACAGCAGCGCATTTGGCTCCCTGGTTTTTTTGTTGTTGTTGTTTTTTTAGGATTTTCTCTCTCTAACACTCACTTGGCATCTGCTTTCCTAGAAGTTTGATCATCCCTATTCTGTCTCCTCCCCCTCCCTGTGACCTCTCCCAAGCCCAGCCCAGCCCCAGGCCCTGTTTCTCTCAGCACTGGACCTACCCATCCTCTCCTCTCTCTCTGCCCAGCCTGCAAGCGGAGGGGAGGAGGCGGCTCCAACCAAGGCGGAGTGCATGAAGCAGCTGCCTGACCTGACTGGAAATTATATTTCTCCTCCATTAAACCAGTGCTTTTCCTTCTTTTTCTTCTCTTGTCTTTTCTTGCAGCCACGTCCCCCTGTTGGCTCACGTTCACCAACTACTCCCTCAAGACCTTTTTCGGAAGTATTGTTTCCAAGCCTGCTGCTCTCCCGCCTACACGTTGCATCTTATTTTGTTTCTTCAACAACAAAAATTGGGTCTGCTCCGTGTTGCCTTACTCTCTCTTGCTTTGCTAAGCCCTCGGATCTATTTCTGGGCCATTCAGTAGCTCACGGGAACTGCAGATTTGATCAGCCCTTCCGAATAGTTAGCAAAACCTACCGAGCAGGACTGGAATAATTCTTCCGGCATGGAGCCTTCAGTGGAGATGTACCCCCTTCGTCCTCACCCACCCCCTTTAGGGGAGGGGGTCAGCTGAACCCCTTTCCAGGGATGCTTACAGCAGCACCCAGCCACCAAACGCACCCAAGTTGCAGGCGCTCCCGGCTGGCGTCCGCTTCCTGCTCTGTAACGACTTTTGTAGGTCGTAACTCTGAATGCTTCCCTAGGACGGATGTGCGGAAACTCTCGGGAGAAAACTCGAAGCCGCCGCCGCCTCCTGCGGGCCGCCGCCCAGAGACTCTTTGGGGCTCCCTGGCGACTGCTCGTCTCCCGCCCGCTCCTTCGTGGCACCGTCTGCCGCGCTGCCCTTTCGCCCAGAGCCCGTCACCTACACGCCGCCGCCGCCGCCGCCGCCGCCGCGGGGCCAGGCAAAGGGCGCCCTCGGGCCTCGCGCAGGCGGGGATGGGCGGCCGCTCCAGCAGCGCCGCCGCTCCTTTGTTCCGCCGACGGACGGCCGGAGCGCCCCCTCCCCGGGCCTACCTTGGCGATGGACATGGTGAAGTAGACGAAGAGGCCGGTGGCCGAGGCGATCTGCAGCGCCACGATGCCCATGGCGGCCACGGCCAGCCAGACCGGGCTGCAGCGCTTGCGGCGGCGGCGCTTCTCGGGCCGGCCGGGCGGCTCGGCCTCGGAGCCGCTCGGGCTGCCCAGCATGTAGGCGGCCGAGTCGCTGCTGTCCGAGCGGAAGTACTGCTGGCCCGCCGGGGCCGCCGCTGGAGCCATGCGGGCGGGGAACGGGCAGGGAAGGCGCTCGCCCGGCGGCCCAGGGGCGTCTGCGCTCTCGGCTGCTCCCTCCGCAGGGCGCGGGGAGCGCTTGGTGGCGGCCGGGCGGGCCCGCCTCTTTGGCAGCGTGCGCGGGGCGGGCCGAGGCGAAGGTCCGGCCGTCGGATCAACAAAGGGGGAGCCTCTGCAGCGCCCCCGCCGTCCGCCTCTCCTCCGCTGCCCCCCGGCGGTCGCTGCCTCGGGGTGGGGTGGGGTGGGGGGAGAAGCGGCTTGCGGCTGCTCCTCAGAGCCGCCTTGGCGCCCCAAACGCGGCCCGTGGAAGGAAGCGAGGACTAGTTTGCATTCCCCGCTCTTTGATTCCTTTCTTTATTCTTCAGATCTCGACATGCTTATTTTCAGTTGGGCCACACGTTGTTTTTTCTTTCTTCAACAGCCAGAACCAATCTGGGACTGCTAGTATTTTCCTAAGAGACGTTTCCTCCCATTTGTGGTCATTCGGGTATCAATGCTGTTCTTTTACAATGATAAATAGCTATTTGCAAATATGTTTAGGTCTTCAAATAGTTACAACCAGTGGATATCAACCATCAAGCCAGGTGAAAACCCCTTACAAGAAAAAAGAATTGGTCCTCCATCCTGTGCTACCAGCACACACACACACACACACACACACACACACACACTATGCAGTAAAACCCCAGCAATTCGGTTGAGCCTAACAAAGCCTGACTTGCAGGGAGCCCCAGCTGAAAGCCCAACATCTGGAGTAGGGCTTCTTCCCAGCATACAGTCCGCCTTCGGCACCGAACACTTTGGGAGGGGGGATTGCAAAAAATATAATTTCCTGTCGTGTCAGCAGAACTCGGATCCAAAAGTATCAGTACTGTCAGATCACAGATATGGTCATTGTTTTTTAAAAAAATCACCACCCCCCCCAGCCCCACACATCTACTAGGGCTGTGTGGGTAAGACCTTCCATTGGGAGGGAGGCTGGAATTCCCGGCTCCACCACCTGCCTGAACTTGCAGAACCTGCTGGGAGTCTGTGCTGGGGCCGAGGGGCAGAAGGCAGCCGGCTTTTCCAGCCAGGCCGAAGGGAGCTTCCCACACACTGCCAGGAAGCCGCCTGCCCATTTCTGGGAAGACATGCAGAGTCGGTAGAGGCAAAACTGTCCCGGTCCCAAAAGTTTTCAATATTTTCTTCTTGGGAAAAACCACAAAAGTGATTTCATTCCACTGTCACGCCTGAAGTACACTGAATGTGTGTGGGGGAGGGGAAGGGAGGGGCTCTCAAGCATCCAATGGGGTTTGCAGCAAGGCTGCTGGACCCGTGTGAAGGGAACCACATGGCTATTCTTGGCGCCTGGGCTAACTATCAGTCCTCCAAGTAGCCTTGACATGACCTTGGCTTCCACTGCTCTCTTGAACATAGATTGCATGTGAGCCCCGAGGGCTTCATCTCCAGGGCTGGGTGTACGCAGCAGGCAAGGGGAGGCAAGCAGGAGACATTTTGCTCTTGGACCGTCAGGGTAAAATGTGCAAGCCGAGGCTGAAGGCAACGCAGAGCAGTCCCATCTTCCTGATTCTTCATGGGACGCAGAGTCCCAGCCCAGGTCCCAGAGGCAACACTTCACTCAGGCAAGAGAGCTGCTCTCTCAGCCACCCTTTCCTCTCATCAGGAGAAAAACCGCTCCATTTGTGGGGAAAGTTACTTTAAGTCTGACTTGACAAATCTCTGGGAGGGGGTCCCCATCCACTCAGGGAGGCCTTGGCAAGAGGGAGCCAGACGCTCAGGTGCTGCCTGGCTGGGAGCTGTGGAGGGAGAGAGGCCCCCAGGATGTGGCTGGCTGGCTGGCGTGCCTGGCCTGGCCATCTCTCCACTAACAAGGAAACGCTTGCGTAAGACAGTCTGGAATGCAAGGCGGCCATTATTTGATCCAGATGTTTGGCCGCTTCGCTCCCCTCACCAGAGCAAAAGTCCAGCCTAGGAAGAGAGAGTGGAGCCTTTCCTGGTTGTCTGGGAGGCCTGAAGAAGGAGACCCCTCCTCCAGCCCCAGCTCAGCAAGGGACATGCAGACGAGGAGCAGGCTCCAAGGCCTGGTAAGTTGGGTCCCTCTGCAGAAGACAAAGGTGGCCAGATTGCCCCACCCCCCATCTTCGGCAGAAAGCAGCAGAAAGCCAGCTGCCTCTGCATGCAGCTGTTCCAGCCCAGGCACTGGGGCATTTCTAGAAGTGCTGACCCATCGCCCCTTCCTCTGGTTCAAGTGGTGACCCTTTGGTGCCGAGGCAAAGGCATGTGTAAGCCGAGAGCACCCGAGCAGTTGCCTTGGGGCCAGATGGGGTTTTAGGGGCAGCCATTAGAACAAGGGAACTCCTTGGGGGGGGGTCTCTGTTGCTTGGTCTGCTCTGCCCAGACCAACTTTCCAGCTGCTCCTTGTTGCAACATGCATCTGGGCCATTGCCCTGGGCTTCTTTCTCCAGTTGGCCTTGCTGGCTCGGGGGGGGGGGGGGTGTGGTTCCTCCCCCCCCAAAAAAGTCTAGGCATATTCCTCTGACCTAGACTGGTCTGGGTAGGACAACTGTTCAGCCTCCATCCCCTTTCATCTTCAGAGAGGCTCCTCCTCTCCACTCCAGGGCAGCTTTGTGAGAAGCACCCCCCACCCCATGTGGGAGGACAGAGTCAATAGGGGCAACTGCTCAGGTCTGCTCTGAAGACCACCATGCAGGACTTGGCCAGCTGCCCTCCTGCATCCTTCAGCAAGACGGCTGAAATGGTTAGCTCAGCAGAACTGGGAAAGAGCTTTCTAAGCACTTCATGGGGTGCAGACTGAGTCTGACATGCACGCACACACACACACAAACACTCGAACACAAACCCACACGTGCTGGGGGCCATGTTCAAAACCACTTCTATAGCAACGGAGCTCCACAGCTGCAGCTGTACTCCATCCTTTTTAGGATGCGGGCACAGAGCACATGCTTTTAACAAGACTAACAGGAGAGAAGGCTGTTGCCGGGGCTGCTCCGCCTTCTTGTTAATTCCACCCTGTCTGCATCCTAGCTGGGTTGGGGGTGCTAGGGAAGGTCTGCCTCCCCAGAGAGTGACCTCTCCCTTACTCTCCCTGTCCCAGGCGGCTCAGGCCTTGACTTTTACAGGAGACCCACAGCAAAGGCTTCGCCTGTGGCTTGCTCAGAACCAGTCCGATGTCACCCTGACCTGACCCAGGACATTTTATCATCTACCGGGAAGGGAGCCTGGCTCCAGCGGGGGGAGGCTCCTTTTCCTTCTCCAGACACGAAAATAACATTGGTTTGCAGCTGGAAGGAATGTGAGAAGGCAGCGAGGCTGTTTTGGGACAATCCTGCCAACGTGGCTCGAGCGCTGGGCTGACAGGCACCGCGGAGCCTTCAACATGCTTTGAGACCTGAAAGAGGATTTTGGCATCCGAATCAGGAAGGCTGCCTCAGGACCGAAAACAACAGGAACAGCCTCGTGTTTTGCAGACTTCCTCGCCCGGCGCGGGCCACCCTCCTCCCCCCGCGCGCGCGGCTCCTGTGGGGGACGCGGGGCGTCGGCGGTTTTCCCCGGGCAGCCGCGGCTCCAACGGACGGAACGCAGAGTCTGGCTCCGGTCTGCCCCGGCCGGAAGAGAGCCGAGCGCCTGCCCGGCCGCCTCCGCTGACCGGTGCGGCCTCCGAGACCCCCGAGCTGGGCGCCGTGACTTTCGGGCTTCCCGTCCCTTTAAGGCCAGGGCCCTGCCGCCCCCTCTCGGCCAATCCCACTATCCCGTTCCCCGGGAGCCCCGCCCCTTTAGGGCAAGAGCTAGGCAGCCTCCACTTCCCCATTGGCTGCTTGGGTCCGTTTTTTAAAAATCCTTAGGCCCCGCCCTTAGCAACTGCATTCTCTCCGGCTCCGGGATTGGCTGCCGCGGGGCCAATGATGTCCGCTCTTTACAAATGTAGCAATTTTCAAATCCGCATTTTGTGCAGCGAAGAAGAAGAAGAAGAAAGAATCGGCGGCGGCGGCGAGTTTTCGCGGCGGCTTCAGCTCCAGGTGAGCTTTATTGGGGGGACCAGAAGGGGCGCCTTCAGCCGGCGGAAGCCCTCTGCCTCTCTGAGCACCGCCACGCGTCTGGGCCTCGGGTAGTCAGGCCGGGTCTCGGATCTCCTCCCTTAGCCCGTCTGGAGAAGCGAGGGCGAAATTCCTGCCCGCGGGGAGGAGCAGCGCTTCCTGTCCCAGCCCGTTTCTCTCCCCTTCTGCAGCCCTGCGACGGGAGGCCCCCAGCCGGAAGGATGCCCCCTGCGCGCAACTCCAAGGGCTTGGCCAGCAAGCAGGCCCGTCCCGGCCGAGGAGCAGCGGTGGAAAATGTGCAAGTGGACAAGGTGAGCCAGAGTCCACCCCAGCCAAGCGGCGCACCAATCGCGCACACGTGTGTGTGTGTGTGTGTGTGTGTGTGTGTGTGTGTGTGTGTGTGCTCTGTCTGTGCGTGTGCTTGTTGGGTCAAGTTCTACCCCTGCAAAAGGCACTCCGGCACTCCGTGGAGAGCGCCTCTTTAGGGGAAATGTGCCTTTGGCCTCAGGTGGCCCTTTGCTCGGAAGGGGCCGGGCGGCTGGGAGGAGCCCCAGGAACTACACTGAGTGGCCTCCGGTTCCTTTGATTCTAGGAGATTTCTCAAGCGAAACGATCCCCCTCATCACCCCAGGGGGCACCCAGGAAGCGATCGGCCTTTGGCGATATCACCAACGTAAGAAGCACGGGCCCTTGAGTGGCGTTGCCCGCGGTCTGCTGGGCATGCACCGCTCCCTTGCCAGCTCGGCCGCTCTGGGACTGAATCCCGAGCAAGCAGCTGCTCGGTCTGAGGCGGTGCTGAGCGGCTCCTCTGGGTCTCCCTCCTCTAGGCTCACAAGGCCCAGGGCTTTGTGGGGAAGAAGGAGCCGGAGAAGATGATTCCCAAGAAGGCCTCCAAGGGATCCACTGCGCTGAATGTGGCCAAGAACAACGAGACCAACCTGAAGAAGTGAGGGCTGTGCTGCTGCCTCCCCTGCCCATGTGGCTTTCCTGGGTGGGCCAATGTCCCCATGGCATCAAGGTGCCTTGTACGATGAGGGCAACTTCAGTGCCCTCTTTAAAGAAAAGCCATGCTGGCACAGCTGCCATTCTCGCCAGTCTGAACGCAACCCCAAAACTCTTGCCTCAAACTTTGGCAGAGCTCGATTTGGCTGTGCCAGCAAGTGTCCAGCGTGGCGTTTCTCCAATTCCTACCACTCTGCCCCAATGTGTAACCCCTGCCACCTCTTCCAGGTCCCTGGACAAGGCACCCTCTGAGGACAGTCCAGCCAAGCTGAGCCATCTGGCCAACAGAGGCCTCGGAGAGGAGCCGGCCGTCCCACTGGTAGTGCTGGTAGCACCAGCAGCCCAGGTAGGGGAGCAGTGTATCCGTGGGCCCCGCTGGCAGGGCCTGCCTCTGGGGCAGCACACGGCTCCCTTGCAGCCAGCAGTCCTGGTACCTCGGGCACAGGGCTCAAGCCATCACCCCTGCATTGGCAGCCGGAGACTCGCTCTTTGTCTTGTAGCTGACCCTGCAAATGGCGGGGGTGTGTGGGGGAGTGGGTGCTTATGGAAGGCAGGGTATTGGGGGCTGCCTGCCAAGGGCTCCCCTCTACTTTAGGGCCAAGGCAGCTCCTGCCCTCTGGTCCCCACCCCAGGCAGGGCAACGTTGAAAGCCTCTCTCGTCCAGGTGGCTCCGGCAGAGGACATCGACCTGGGGCAGCTGGACGACCCGTACGCCAATGCCGAGTATGCCAAGGACATCTTCGAATACATGCGGGAGCGAGAGGTGCCTGCTGGGGCCCAGGGGAGCGCTGCCCTTCCTCTGCCACTGCGGATTCAGTCTCACTGGGACGGCCGGAGGAGGGGAGGGGCTCCGGGTGCTGCTTCCTGGGGGATTTTCTCAGCCACACCCTCCTTTTCCAGAAGAGCTTCCTGCTCCCAGACTACATGAAGAGCCAGCCGGACATCACCATGGACATGCGGGCCATCCTGGTGGACTGGATGGTGGAAGTGCAGGTGGGAGCCAGCCAGAGGAGGGCGGGGCTGGGGGGCGGTGGGCAAAACGAGCCTTGCGCAAGGCCGCGATGTGCCTGTGCCGGAGCGGTGCCGAGAATGCCGCCTCCGCCCCGCTCTTGGCAGGACTCCCTCCCAGCCTCCCTGAGCTGCTGCGGGTGGGGATCGAGGGTCTCCTGCTGGGCCCTGAAAGTGGGGGGCTGGGCCGAGGGAGGGAGGAGACGCCTGGCCACCAAAGCTGCTTTCTGGCAAGGAGGCTGCCCTCAGCACCGCTTTGCGCCTGCAGGAGAACTTCGAGCTCACCCACGAGACCCTCTACCTGGCGGTCAAACTGATGGATCATTACCTGGTTCAGGTGGCAGCCATGAGGGACAAGCTGCAGTTGATCGGCTCCACCGCCATCCTCATTGCCTCCAAGTTTGAGGTGAGCCCCCCACCAGCAATGGGCCAGGTCTTGGGAGGGGTTGGAGCAGAGATTGTCCGAGAGACCCCCTACCCGCTCTGGGCACGCGCTTCGCCCCTTCCACCTCCTAGAGGTTCCCTCTGGGCCTTCCGTTGTTGGCTCCAACCGTTACTTCTCAGGGCCTCTCAACATTGTGTCTTGGGGGGGGGGTATGTTTAATGGGCTGCTCCTCACATTTTCTGGGCATTTGTCCAGTGGGTCCCAACCACAGAGCATTCGGAGGCCCCGCTTAGGGCACTATCCTCCTGAGTGCAACCTCTGGGCACCCCCTGCCCCAAATTCCCCCCCCCCAGAAAAAAACCCCCCAGGAAGGGATGGCATGGCCTGGGGCAGCGTCAGGGCTTTCCTCCCGGGAGGGGGCCAAACGGTCTTCCATTTGGCAGGAGCGCTGCCCTCCCTGCCTGGATGACTTCCTGTACATCTGCGATGATGCCTACCAGCGGGAGGAGCTGCTGGCCATGGAGAGGGGCATTCTGCAGACCCTCCACTTCGACATCAATATCCCCATCGCCTACCGCTTCCTCCGGCGGTTTGCCAAGGTCAGTGGCGCACGATGGGATCTGCTTGTGGGTGCCAGAAGCTGCCCTTTGCTCGGCGGGCAGAGGGGGGCACCGGGTGCTCCTGGGGGAGGGTCCGTGCCCTTCACATGTGGCTGTTCCTCCCAGTGTGCCCGGGCTACAATGGAGACGCTGACCCTGGCCCGTTTCATCTGCGAGCTGACCCTGCAGGACTACGCCTTTGTACAGGAGCAGGCTTCCCGCCTGGCTGCCAGCTGCCTCCTGCTGGCTCTCAGGATGAAGAACCTCAGAGGATGGGTGAGGATACCCGCCCCTCCAGGCACCCTGTCTCCAAGGGAGAAATGTGGGCAGGGAGGAGGCAGCGGGCAGAGCCCTGCCCAGCAGAAGGGAGGCGCTTTCCCTTGGCGGCAGAGATGGGCAGGGGACTCTTGGGGGGAGGAAGCAGGCTGGGCAGGGGAGAAAGGGCAGGGGCAGCAGCAGCTGGGGTGGGGTCCCCTGTCCATGCCACGCCCGTGCGTGGAGTGGCCTTCCTGCGCCAGCTGCACACTGAGCAAGAGCCTGCCCCCCCCCCTCAGTGCGCCTCTTCCCTGGTGTCTTGGCAGAGCCCAACGCTGGAGTACTACAGTGGCTACCAGGTGCCAGACCTTGTCCCTCTGGTCAGGAGGCTCAACTTCCTGCTGATCTACAGCCAGGACGAGCGGCTGAGGGCTGTGCGCAGCAAATACTCCCACCGGTGAGTGCTGCTTCCTCTGGGCCCCCTGGCCTCTGCGGGTGGGGTGGGGGTCCCGGTGCAGTGGGGTGGGAGCATCTGGTCAGCCCTCCCAGCAGTCGGGTTGGCCCAGGAAGGAGCCGCTCCTCTGCCCTTGATTGCTGACCCTCTCCGGCCTCGGCTTGCAGGGTCTTCTTTGAGGTGGCCAAGATGGAGCCGGTGAGCATGCAGGCGCTGGAGAACGCTCTGCAGAGCTAGCCCTGGCGCGGCGGGCGGGCTGCCTCCAGTCGGGGCGTGTCCTGCCCGGAAACTGGATTCAACCTGCCCTGTAAATAGATGTTCAGTCTACCAAGCCTGTAAATAATTGTTTTTTTTAATGATGAAGGGGAAAAAAAGGAAAACTCTTATGGGGGGAAATTGTGTAAAGAAAAGAACAAGCTTTCAATAAAAGAATGTGAGCGCAGCCCCCCCCCTCCCGTCTGCCTTCCATGGGCGCCTCAAGGGCCCCCCCTTTGCTGGCCGGGCTCGGCTGCAGGGTCTCGCCCGGAGGGTGCCCGGAAACCACTAAGCAGCTGCCCAGCGGAGAATTCACGCACACACGCACCCCCAGGGAATGTGGGAGAGAAGACCCAACGTTATTCCAGGATCAAATCCATGTTGAGATTTATTTCGCAAATGTGACGTCTGAAATTTGGAACCAGTCCTGGGCCGTTTCCCCACTTTTAAGGACAGTGTTTCACAAACACTTATTTCCCCCCACTTCCATCCTGTGTAGGCGGGCAAACCCCCTCCAGGCGGCCCCGGTCTCTGAAATGCACGGAGGAGGATCAGTGGACACCTGAAAGGCCCCCTTTCGCTAGGCTGTAGTGCCTAAGGCCCAAGTGGCCCAGTCCCCAAAGGATGCGCGGCTGGAGACGAACTGCAATCTGCCCCGGGAGGGGGAGAGGGAACAGTGGGCCCATTGCCCATTTCACGGGGGCAGAGAGACTACCGGGTGGTGGGGCTCTCTTGTGCTCCTGACTTCCTTTGTGGGCAGCTGCAGGCAAGTCCTCCACGGTGGCATCTCTGCCTGCCTGCCTGCCTGGCAAATCCCAACCCTGCAGCTCTCCTTGGCCGATCCTCCTTGCCGTGCCCATCGGCTGCTCCCCCCAAGAACCGAGCTGGCTGGCTCACTTGCAGCAGAAGGGAGGTGCCAGTGCCTCCACTCCTTGCACACTTGCAGTAAAATGGCTGTTGCACATGGAGACACAATGACAAGCAGCTCCCGGCAGAGGGGTCCCGCTCAGCTGTGCACACAGGCCTAACATGGGGAAGCCAGTTTATGTGGTGTGTGGCAGAAGCAATCTCCCTGCAGCTGCCTTCCAGGGCCAAAGTGGCTGTGCCAACCCTCGGCTGGACACCAGGCTGGGAGAGCCGAGGTGTGCTGCTTGCTGTCTCATGCCCAAGTGCCGGTGGAGTCCTTCAATGGGGACAAGGCAGCCCCCCCCCCCAGCAGCTTTGACTGATCAAGGCCGCACCCTCTCTGCCCCTGGGCAGCCAGCTGGCCCAGCAGAGTTAAAAGCCCCTCCACACCAGAAAGCTCCAGGCTCTACAGACAGATTCCACAGTGCATTTGCACAACACAGGTGAAAAATAAATTAAGGTATATATTACTCTTTAAATAAGTATCTTCTCTGCAAGGTATGTACATTTTGATCACACTTCCAACAGACTGAATTGATTGATGTGGCAGATGCAGAGACGGGGCGGGAGTTGGCGAGGGGCGCAAGGGCAGGCAAGCTGGCCCCACGGGGCCCAGTCTGCCAGGCGGGAAGGCACCGATTGCGGCCTCTAAAGGCTCCCTGCTTTCCCAGGGCCTCCTCCAGGTGTGTCTCTTGAGCATCTGGGGAAGGAAGCTGCCTTACAAGGAATGCTTTAGCAGCTCCGGATCACAAAAGCAAACCAGATCTGGAGTTTTATCGGTCTGCTGAACTGCCTCCTGGATGCCACCAGGGAGCTTCAGGGTCTGGCGAGAAAACGTTTTATTTAAAGGAGCTGCCAAGGGCTCCGTGGCCACCTGAAAAAGGAGGTCAGTGGGGGCCAATGCCGGGGTGGGGGTGGGGAAGGGCCGGCCGAGCAGGGGGTCAGCAGCCTTACGCTCTTGCTCAGGGACGCTAACTGGATAAGTGGAATTGCTTGGGTGACTGGCTGGTCAAGAGGGCTTCTCCGGCCCAACTCTCAAGAAGAGGGTGTTGGAGGCACCCCGGCCAGCTGCCGTGCGCCGCCCCAGCCCTGGCACAAAACCCAGCGGGGCTCATCCCCTCGTGTGCCGTGACGGGAGAGGCTCGCTGGAGCCCCCCTTCCCCGCAGGGTCCCAGGAACGACGGCATGCGTGGAAAGAAGCACAACTCAAGCAGGGGGGCCGGGAAGGGTGAGCACAGTCAACGTCTTCGGCACAGGTGGGAATGCAAACGCCACTGGCAGGAAGACCTCGGGCCGGTGTTGGCGAGGCCCAGCAGCCCCGCTGGACACAGTGAAGGTGGACAACGGCCCCCAAGCCATCCTGCTCCGAGGGGCTTCCCTCCCTACTGCTGCCCGGCAGGGTCCTTAATTCCCTGGAGGATCCTCTTCACGTGGCCCACTTTTGAGATCCCAAGCTCCTGCGGGGGGAGGGGGAGAGAAGAGAGGCGCTCAGGGGAGCACCTGGCCACCCTCCCCCCGGCTCTTCCAGGTTCCTTTTGCACCACCAGACGCTCTGTGCAAGGTGGGGAGGGGGGTTGACTGCAGCCCCCTCCATGCTGAGCTCCCACAGGGCCCCCCTCGCGAAAAGGCCCCCTCCCATTAATGACGGGGGTATAAGAAGCCTGCCCCCTCCTCCCCGGGGGGGGCGGGGTGGGGGGCTGGCCCGCAGCCCCTCCTTGTGCCTTCGTGGAGGGGAGAGGCAGCAGGAAGTAGAGCCGGTGGGGGCAGCTTGGCCGTACTCCAGGCGAGCAGGGCAGTGGCAACCCCCCCCCCCCCCCCGCGCCTCCCGCAGGCCGGACTGCGCAGGGTACCTTCAGGTCTCTCCTCTCCAGCAGGATCAGCTCCGAGCCCTGGATGTCATGGCGCACAAAAAGCTCTTTGTATTCCCCTAAATCGAGGGCCTCCAGCCAGGCAGCCACCTCCTCAGGGCCCCAACTGTCCACTGGGGGCCAAAAGGAAAAAGACAGGAGATGTGGTCGGTTGGTGAAGGGAGGGGAGGGAGGGAGGACCAGGACAGACAGGGTTGCGGGGGGGGGGCGGGGGGTGAAGACGGAGGCAGGCAGATAGCAGCCCAGGTGGAAGCAAGCTCAGGCAGCCGGGGGGGGGGGGGGGCAAGGGGGGAAGAGCAGGAAACTGGGGTGGGGGGAGCCGTGTGAGGAAAGGACAACTAGGTGGGGCTCGGCCCATCCAGCAGGCTGAGCCCATAGCCAGACCCCCTTGAACCTGTGTGTGCTACAGACCCCCAGGATTCCTTGACAGGTCCATGACACCTGCAGCCTCTCTGCCTGCCTGCCCCGGGCAGGGACTCTGCACTTCTGGCCTTGGGCATCTGTGCCCCCTCCAGGTGGGCTCTGCCTTGCCCTGGGGAAGTAGCACCCAGGCCACCAAGGGCTTCCCAGCCACCCCCTCCAGCTACGGGTGGGCTAGCTGGCCCCTCCCTAGGGCTCCTTTATCCAGGCGCTGAGATGATGCGTCCTGCCCTCCTGGGTGCTGGGAGGGCCACCAGATTACCTGGGGTGACCCCGCCAGATCTCTGCTTTTGGAGCTTCTCCTTCTTGGGCTTTGCAAGATTAATCCGTAGCTTCAGGCTGCCCTTGTTGCTGCTCCCGGGAGCCTCCGGGCCCATGACCTGCGGGGAGTAGAAACTGCCGCTAGCAGCACCGGAAACCCTCCATTCCCCGCCTCCCATCCCAGGGCTTTGCCAGGGCACGGCAACCATCAGAAGGGAGGCCGTGGCAACGGCAGATATGCCTCGGCTGCCTTCCCTGTGGCCTGGCTTGGGCACCCAGCGCCTCTGTCGCCCAGCCGTCCTACCCTGGAGCCTCCAACAGGCAGGCCGAAAGCCGGCCCAGGGACTCCGGGGGCCTCCTTCCGAGGCAGCCGCAGGCCGAATGACTGGCTGCTGCTCTCTGGGAAGGTGCGCCCGGCTGTCCACGTGCCCACCTCCTCAGCGGAGCTTGAGACGGGGGCCATCCAGTGGGCCTCGGAGAACCTCTGCAGCTCCTGGCTGACGGCGCCCAGGGCCTGGTGGAGGGCGTCCTCTTGCTGGGGAGAATCCAGCTGCTGTGAGAAAAGGCTGGTGAGGAGGGCTGCCTCTGCCCCAAGGGAGGGCAAGGGATGTGTGGGCCCGTCCCGCAGCTTCTGCCCCGCACTCACCTGCTTTCCTCCCAGGAAAGCCTGGGTTTCGGTGCACAAGGCCTTCACGCTGACGGACACCTCCACAGCCAGGCTCCGGCTAATCAGCTGCAGTCCCCGTCCGTCCCCGCCCCCGGCAGGAAAGAAAGGAGTCAGCGGGGGCTGGCAGGGAAAGGCAGGCCACCGGCAGCCGGGGCTCAAGGAGAGATGTCGAGGGAGCGTCCCCAGCCCTGGCGGAGGGTCCTTCCACGCCCCCCCCCCCACGGGGCAGCTCCCCAGTCTCACCTCCGGGGCCCCACTGCTGCTCTTGCAGGCCAAGACCTCGCTCAGGGCCAGCGAGCTGCTGTTCACGGCATGGGCCAACTCCTGTTCCATGCCTCTGCGGGACTTGGCAGCCTCTCGGATCCTGCAAGGGGCAGAGGAAAAGGCCTCTCAGCCACGGAGGGGACTTCAAACCCGCCCCCCATACTTTGGCCCCCGTCGAATGCGGGAGAAAGCAAATCCTGGGGGTGGGGAGTCCACACCCCACACATTGGCCGAGAATGAAAGCAGGGAGGCTGAGCAAAGCGGGGCAGATGGCGAAGGTCCTTCTGCCCGGAGCTCTGCGGGACTCCCTCCTCCTGCCCCCCAACTCTTCTAAGACCTGGTGAGGGAGGCTGGCCTGAAGGTGCGCTTCGCCCCCAGTGGCCCCCAGGGCCTCCCTGTCGCCTTTGGTGGGGAACAGAGGCAGCGTCAGTCACAAAGGCCTCCCCCCACAAGCCCCGTGGCCAAGGGAGGCTTCTAGGGCAGCCTTGATTGGATTGCGGGTCTGGCGTGGTTGGCACCTGCTAATGAGGGTTTCGGTGGCTTGGACCAGCTGCTGCATCTGGGCTGCCTCCTCCTCCATCAGGTACTCCATGGACTGCTGGGAGCTGAGCCGCGGCCGGGATGGGGCTCGGTAGGCCTCCCCCTTTTGCTTGTCTTCCCACGATTTCAGGGTGCTCTCAAAGGCCTGCAGGGACGCGGGTTGGCCATGGCTGAGAAGATCAGGGCTGGGGTCCCTCCCGACGGTGGGCCAAGATGCTCAGAGCCCACAGGCCTGGCCCTCTCTCTGAGCCGACACCCCACCAATGGGTTGCTCACCCTGTCCCTGGTCAGCATCTGGGCCCGGTTCTTGTGCTGGATCTTGATCATGCCTGGGGGTTGTATCCAGGCCTCTCCGTCCACTTGCACTGGGACCCCTTCGTCTCCCCGAATCGTGATCTTCACCATCCGGCACTGGGGAGGGAAAGGCCCAGTGGGAAATGCCTGACCTCCCCGCGGAAGAGCCACGGACGGCCCCGGCAGCGGGCCCTGCACAGGCCCTCTCTCACCTGGGCAATGCGGTGGTGCTGCAGGTTGATGACCCGAGAGACCGCCATCTGGATGCTCCCAAAAACAGCCACCACCTCGAGCTTCTTGTCGTCGAAGGAGGGAGCTCCGAAATTCTGGCAGGGAGAAGACTGAGCATCAGGGAGCCGAACCCGTTAGAGTGCAGAGCACCTGAGCCCACGCAGTTCTCGGCCAGGTTGGTCAAGCGGTTTGTTGTGCTTCTTAGCAGCAATGGCAGTGAAAGCAGCCCTCCCGCAACCGCAGGAGGAGCGTCTGTGGCCAAGAGGCAGGTGCTCCGTGCCAGGGACTCACGCTGTCTTCCTTGGTGCCTCCCCAGAAGTTGATGCCGCCTGCATAGCTGGGAATGTTAAGCACGGCGATGCCCTGCAGGCTGGGCAAGGAAATAGGAACTCCGTCGCACTGGAAGAGAGCGGAGAGAAGCCGTTTCCGAGGGCAGGTGGAGCCGGAGCGCCTGGAGGGAGTTCCGGGCAGCCCCTCTCAGCAGGCTCTTGGCAGCCGCTTTGGCAGTACCTCAAGTTGGACCCGCTGCTCCAGGTTCTTGTAGGTCCGCTGCAGCAACTCCTTCGTTCCCAGGACCCCATACCACATCATATTTTTGGTGCGGCTGCTGAAAAGGCAACCAAACCGGGGGTGTCTTTCTGCTTTCTCCCAGCAAGACAGGATTTCCAGAGATCGTCCCCCTGCCTAGCTTTCCTCGGTCCTCCTGCCGGGTTTATTCTGCTCCTGGCCAACTCCTCCTCCTCCTCCTCCTCCTCCTCCCAGCCAGAGAACTAAATTGGGTTTTCCCTCCAGGGCCAAGCAGTTAGCCAGCTGCAATAGCTTTGCAGAACCTTTCAACATGAAATAAGTAATAGCGCAATGATTAGGTTCCTCCCCAGACCTCCCTTCCTGGTGGAGGAGTCTGCCGGGGGGTTCAGGGCCCAGAGCGCAACTGCCAGGTTCCCAAAGGCCCCCCCAAAGGCCCCTGAAGCCGAATCTCAGGTGTGTCCCTGAGCAACCCGGGTGGCTTTCCCTCCCGTGGTTGAAGTGGGCTGCAGCCGCGGCCCAGGTGGCTCTCCAGCACCGTCTCCTCCTGGCCTGGGACAAAGGGATTCCTCAGCCAGCTGTCAGATGCAGTCCCGGTCTCTGCGCAGACGCGGACCGGCCAGGAGGAAGCACTCTGAAGCTGGGCAAGGCAGGAGCCACCTCAGGGTCCTCTGGGCTTCCGCCTTGGGCAACATTCAGCCTTACCTGCACTTCTTTGGGTGCTCATCCCTTTTGTTGTTGAATTCCAGGGAGATCTTGGCGTCCAGGCCAATGCCAAAGTAGTTATTCATGACGCATCTTTCAGAAAATTGTCTGGAACCAGCAGGTGGAGGGAAAGGAAATAGTTCAGCAACAAGCACTGAAGCAGAACCGGGAATACAGCACCAGAATACAAATAGTGGGTCTGTTTCCCCCGTTTCTGAGCACTGCAGGGAGGAGCATTTGGACACCAGCACAAGAGGCACTGGGGGGAGGGGCAGAGGAGCGGGGAGCCAGGTGGAGGTAAGATCGGAGCCCTGACTGATGCCACGCCGCCGCCTTTGCCCAGTCTCCCAAAGCAGCTAAGATCAGGCCAAGCCCTGGCTGGCTTCCCAAGACCTGTTTACCCGCCTCCTTGGAGGATGTTAATGGACTGAGGGGGGCCAAGCTTGATCAAGGTCACTTGGAGGTGGGGAGGCTGTCCAAGCCTTTTCTGCTGAAGCAGGCCCGGCCTCCTTCTCGGGGCAGGAGCTTCCCACGCAAATATCCCCAGCCCAGGGCAAAAGGGGGCATGCCACGCGCCCTCTAGCAGTGCCTGGTTGGGGCTTTGGGAAATTTAGCCTCTTCCCTGGGGGCACAACGGGGCAGGTGACGAAGCCAGGGCCCTCCGGCTGGGCCCACCTCTTCGGCCAGAGCCGGTTCAAGCCCCGGGGGCTGCTTTAAGACGGAGACGGGCCCTTGGCTTTAAAGGGCCTTTGTGAATGCTGCAGGAAGGGAAGGGCAGGGAAACCTCTCCATAGGAGTTGCTCTCCCGCTGTGTGCAGGCTGGAGAAGCCTCCGATGCGGCCCTTCCTCCTCCCCACCGGGGGACACTCACATAGCATCGGGGTCCTCGGAGAAAGGGGTGGGGGTGAAATGCTCAGGCTGATCCAGGAAGAGGGAGGAAGTGGTGGAGATGACTGTATCGCGGCGGGACTCTGGAAGAGACGCAGCCAGGGAGGCTGAGCAGCTCTGGAGGTGGCTGGCATCGCCTTAGCCCCCCCCCCCCCCAAGCCCACTCAGGATGGAGCGCCTGAGCGCTGCCCAACCTCACCAGAGGCCAGAGACACCCTCCCCCCTCCGTCCCTCACAGCCCGCCCCCCCAGACTTACTCTGGGCTTCTGCCTCCTTGCTGAAGTCCTCCCCACTGTCCTTCTTACTGGCCAGTGAGAGGCTCCGATAGGCCTGGGTCTGCTTGTTCTGCTCGTCCACCGCTGGCAGGAGGAAATGCAAGCACCAACCCAGCTCACTCCCAAGAGGGACTGCAGACCCCGCGGGGCCCTGCTTTCCACCCTCGGCACCCCCAGTGGGATTTTAAGAGGAGGCTTTGCTGCTGTACCAGGAGCAAAACTCCCAGAAGGATGGGGAAGGCCGGCAGCAGTGGCCCCTCTGCCACAGCCGGCCACGGGGCCTTGGCACCCAGCAGACAATCTCCACCGAGGTTCTCTTGGGACGCCATTCTTGACGTCCCGCCTGCCCACCCTGCGCATCCTCTGGCACAACCGGGTAGCTGGCCCACCCTGCGCATCAGTCTGCAGGAGCTTTCAGCCGTCCAGCCTCCCTCCGTTTCCCTGCCGGCCTCTCACCCTTCTCCGCCTGGTCGATGATCTGGCGCAGCGCCTTCTTGAGGCTGTTGGCTCTTAGCATGAGCTGCTCCTTGGACTTGAAGATGCGAGGAGGCCACGGACCGGGCTGGACGGTGCTCGGCTCCTTGACCTCAGGGGCTGCAGAGCTGCCTTCTGGGACCAGGATGGCCTGCGACTCCTCATTCAGCTCACGGACAAGCGAGTCCAGTTTCTCACTCAGCGTGGCACACTGGGAGTGGACAGGGAGGGGGTCAGCCGTGCAGGCTAGGCCTGCAGCTTCAGCACCCTCCTTGGCCTGGCCCAAGGGAGGAAGGTGGGGATACCCCCCCCCCGCACACACACACACACACACACACAAACACAAAAGCAGGGATGCCCGGCAGAGCCCAGGTCTCTTCCCTGAATTTTCCCCCCAACGCTCTTGCAACCCTCCCGCCACCCCGCAAGGTTGCTCTTGGCACTCTGGGCAGCCACTTGCCTTGCCAGCCATGATGGCTGCTTCCTGCTTGTTGTCAGCTGCCCGTCCATAAGCTTTTCCCACATCAGCTACGAAGTCATTCACCGTCCCGCACAGGAATCTGGGAGAGGAAGAAACCGAGGTGGCAACTCCCAGGCAATTCAGCCGGGCCCTTGAATGGAGCAAAACCCACACGGAGCTGTGTTTCGTGGAGGGCGCCCTGCAAGGGAAACTCCCCCAGGACGTTTATATCGGTTATACGTTAAAAGTTCTCAGTGGCAAAGTTAAACCGATGGGAGCTGCTGGATATATGGAGCTATGATTTGTGCATATAGCATGGGGCGCACTCTCAAGGTGGACAGGGCGTACTAAGAGGTGTGGGGAAAAGAGCAGAATCCGGCTTAAATGCGGGGAAGAAAAGCAGACCGCTCCATTCTGCCCGTCTCCCTGCAGAGGAAACTTCTCAAGACAGCCGGGAGGCCCAATGTGCAATGGGGTTTGGAAGGGGCGGCAGGGACTGTGCCACTTGGGTTGCTTCCCCTTGGCAAGCCATTGGGGAGGCGCTTGCGGCTGGTGCCCGCCCATCCCAGGCAGAGCAGCAGGGCCCTTACTTTGCCGAAGAGATCACCACCGCGTGTTTGTCGGACTCCAGGATCTTGGCCAGGTGGAGGGCTACCGAGTCAGCATAGTGCGAGATCTGAGCCTAAGGGGAGACAGCCCATGCCACTGTCCCTTAGGCCAGTCCCCCAGAAGGGGCCGGGCAAGGACACGGCCCCTCCCTCCCAGCTGGCCTGCTGCCAACCTGGATGGTGGGATTCTCGCTCTCATCTTCCTCCAGGGCTGGGGGCGACTGCTTGGGGGCCTCGTAGGTCAGGACGCTCCACCTGCAGTGGAAGTGAAGGGGCTCTGCAGTGCCTCCCACCCAGGCATGTGGACATGGGAGGGTCCTCAGGGCTGAAGCGGCAGGACCCCCCTCCAGACAGGAGCTAAAGGGCCTCTCCCTTGGGCATCCCTTCCGGGAGAGTGGGGACTGAACCCCTCCTTACCGGTCCAACATTTTTGTGGTGGCACGCTCCAACTTCTCCAGAACCTGCAGCAATTGTGTATCATCATCGCAGAGGCTGCCCCAGCCGAGCACCCGGGCGAGGTCATTCCCAGTGCCCAGGGGCAGGACACCAAGCTGGCACTGCAGAAACGCAGAGGGAGGGTGAGCTGGCACAGCCAAAACGGCCTGCAGGCTCATCCCAGGCCTTGGGGAAACTGGGCACCCTCCATTCCTCCCAAGTTCCCCAAGGCCTGCCCCCGTCGTTCCCGCCCCCCCACCCCCCATTCTCCAGGCCAGTGTTTCCCCAAGGCAGAGGCAGAGGGGTTGGCGGCCCCTTAAAGCCGACCTGTCTTCTGCAGCAAACCTTTTATGGATGCCAAAATGGAAGGCTGGGGGAGGGGCATCCCTTCCCCCACCGGCTTCGCTTGTTTCTCCTCTTCACAGGTCTCAACACTTACACAAATTGTACACAAAGCTCTCTTGAGCTCAAACCCTCCAAGGCTGCCAAAATCTCTTATTTGCCATCTGTTTCTGCACACACCATCCTCAGTCCCAAGTTTTCTCCTGATTTGAATTCAGGCAAGTGTGTGTGTGTGTGTGTGTGTGTGTGTGTGTAGGCGCACTAGATATAGGGAAAGAAGCCAAGAAACCGAGTGTGCTGCCCAACTCTTGACCTGGCTGGGCGATGGGCTTCGGGGGGCTTCACCTGCTTGTGCAGCCCCAGCGAGTCAATTTCCGACAGGACCCAGCCGACGCTGCCGTCTCCGCCACACACCAAGATCCGAAAGGTGGAGAACTTTTGAAAGAGCCGCAGCCTGGCCGGAGGAAGAAGGAAGAGGAGTGAAGCCCCAGCTGTCCAACCAGCAGGCAGGCAGAAGGGGGCCTGTGGCAAGGAAAGGGCTGGGTCACGTGACACCCCCCCCCCCCGCCCAGTCAAAATGGCCCAGAACTTGGGGGGAGAACCTCAATTCTTGGGCTCCCTCTGCCACCCCCCGAGGCAGGACAGCGGGGGGCTCTGAGGAACTGGGACCCTTACCCAAGGTGTGGCCCACCATTCATGAGATCAAAGACTTGGGCTGGGTTGAGGAACTGCTTGAACTTGCGCAGGAACTTCACCCCTTGGTTGTCCCCACTCTTGGAGTTGACAAAGGCCAGGAGGGGGCTGGAGCAGCTGGACGGGCAGGTGGCCTTCCAGAATCCTGGCACGGGGGGGGGGAAAAAGGTGGTGCTTGTGGCCGACGCCCCCTCGCACAGTCCTTGCTCGCAGAGATTGGGGGTGCATGAGAGCCTCCCCTGAGGCGGAGGAAGGGGCCCCAAACTGGGAAAAAGGGCCCCAATACCTGGGCAGCTCTTCTGAGTAACAGAAGCCTCTGCTTTAGCGGAGGACAAGAGAACCGGAAGGGAGGAAGGGAGGGAGGGAGGGAGGGAGGGTGGCAAACGTTTGAGAAGCCAGAAAGCAACCACCATCTTCTACAAAGTAGAGAAATCGTAGCGAGGGGCACCCATGGCCCTCAACAACTGGCCCACATCTGAGCGGCCCCAACAAGATGGGCTGCTGGCTCAGTGGGTGGAGGGCGCCTCCAGCAGGGGGCGCTCTAAGACCCTCTGCTGCAGCTGAAAGGGATGTGCTGCTCTGGTGCCACCCCCCCATGTGCCCCCAAAACCCGAAGGCCCCCCCACGCATGACATGCTGCTGGGCCTCTGGTGGCTCCCTGGGACCCGGTTCCCCTCTGAGGGGGCCCGGACTGCGGCTGCAGGTGCGGCCCCCAGGCTGCTCCCGGCCGCCCCTCTTACCGTCGGAATCAATACTGTTGAGGGCAGTGGGGGGGATGATGGAGACCTTGTGCTGGCCCAGGGGACACTTCTTGCCCAGCCGCTCCCGGCAAGTGCTGTGAACCTGGAGGGGGGCAGAGGGACCCCTGAGCAAATCCCCCCCCCCAGGAAAAGATGGGACTTCAAGCTATGCAGGCTCCTGGCCCCCAAGCGCCGAGCGGAAGAGCACAAGGGCTCCCACAGGCCTCTCCAGGGAGCCCAGGGAGGGGAGGCTGCTTCCCCTTCTGCAGACCAAAGATGCCCGGGCACAGCCGGCCTTCTCCCTTGCCTTCCAGCCTCGCCCAGCAGTCAACATGGGCTTGGTGCCCTCCCGAAGCCCAAGCAGCCCCCATTTCCCTCCCCAGCAAAGAGCCCAGCATCCTTCTTCCCCCCTCCCCCCATGTAAGAGGAACCCATTCTTATTTGGGGTGGGGGGTGGGGTGGAGCTCTGTCGCCCCCTTCTCTTGTCCAGCACGTGTTGGAGGTAGAGGTTTAGTCAGAAAAGGCCAGGGGTAATTAGGGAAGGTGGTATGTGTGTGTGTGTGTGTGTGTGTGTGTGTGTGTGTGCTTACAACAGTCTTGCACCAGAGACAGCGCCAGTCCTGCAGCCTTCGGACACTGCCGGACGTCTTGTCACACACAGCACAGCGGGCACCAACCGGGAGATTCCCCTCCAGCCACTGGTGGGGCATGGCCACCTGCAAGGAGAAGGGGCCGGCTTCTGTCCGCGGATCCAGCCCTCTCCCTTGCGGGAGGGAAGTGGGGGTGGGGGGCTGGCCAGCAAATCTGCTGCCCAAGGAAGCCCCGGACTCACCCCGTCTTCATCCTCAATGATGTCGTTGCCAATGGAGGCCAGGGTGGTCCACTTGCAGCTGTTGGTGGCTCTCACTGCGCAGCGCTTGTGGGCCTTGAACTTGCACACTGCGAGAGAAGGCAGGAGTGGCACCGAGGGAAGAGGAGGAGGGGGCGGCCCCGACCCTCGTGACCGTCCCTCCTGCCAGGGAGAAGGGCCTACCTTCACAGGAGAGGCCGTGGGAGGTGACGCCGGGCAGGGCCTCTCGGCAGACGTTGCAAAAAGTGGGCCGGGTGTGGGAGCAGGCGTACCAGTTGTGCATCCCAGAGAAGTGCTCCATGTTGAACTGGGAGGCCTGGAGCAGAGCACAGCAATCGGTGGCTGCAACCACAAAAGGCGCCTCCCCCAACCCTCCAGGCCCCAGGTCTGCCCCAGGTACCCCACACAGCCCCCCCTCACAGGACCACCTCACTGATTTCCCATTTCTGGACAGACTTCAGGGCCCCAATCCAGTCCTCCATCTCCTTCCGGTTCTCTGCACAAAGGATGAGTTTTCGGAATGGGGTGATCACCTGCGGGAAGGGAGGCAGAGAAGCCCTGCAGTTGCTGCTGCCGCCCCCAACACTGACTCAGCCACCTCCACTTGTTGGGTTGGCCAGTGGGGGGACCCGATGGGAAATCCCTGAGCCCTGGCTACCTCTGACTGCAGCCTTCAGGCCCAGGACGCTCCTGAGCGAGGAGCTCTTAGCGAGTCCTTAGCGGCAGAGTTGGCATGGCTCCGTTTCCCCAGCTGCTATGGCAGTCATGCCACGACCCCCGAGGGTTAGGCGAAAGCAGCCTTGGAAGAAGCTTCTTGGGGTGGCCCAAAACCCAGGAGCCGGCGGCCCTTCCTTGGACTGTACCTGTCAACCAGATCTCCAGCATGGATTTCTGCAGTGTGCTTGCTGTCGGCTGCCATAGAAATGGGGAGGGGGGCATTTGGGATGGGGAAGCAAGCTGGAAGGGGCAGAGGGACCCAGCTCTCCTCCCAGAACCTCCCCAGTGAGAAGCCTCTGGGTGATCTTGGAGCTCCGCATCCATTCGCCAGAAGCCACTTCTGGGGCTAGGGCTGCTTTGCCTGGGCCTCCAGCCCAGCCCTGCTGGCTCTCCGGGTTGCAGGCAGAGGGAGGTTTGTTCTCACCCCCTGTTTCCGTATCATTGGTAACACGGGATGCCTGCTGGTGCTCTCAACATGGGCTCTACCGCCGGTTCTTTCCAACAGCCACCTACCCACCCACCAGCCTCCAGGAAAAGAAGACAGAGCTACTACGGCGATCTGCAGGGCCCAAAACAGGGGAAGTGCTCTAGGGATCCCAGCCGAGTGGGAGGAGGAGGGATTGGGGAAGGCGGGAGAAGAGGCTCCTGGGTGTGCCAAACGGACGCCCAATGCCAGGCTTCTGACCCCAGCTAGTGGACGTGGCAGACGTACCGTAAAGCTGTTGTTGATGTTCTTGGTGCTGGTTTCTGCCACGCTGGCATCCGACAGGTCCACTTCATCAAAGATCAGTGACTAGGAGAGCAAGGAGGAAAGGGAGGGGTCACCTGAACTCCAGAATTTTGGAGGCCAACCATGGACCCTCCAACCTCACCTGGCTCAAGCAGCTTCCCTTTCATTTCACAAGGAACTTCTTGGCCTAGAGCCAGATCAGGAAAACGGGCAGAGCCCCCACGTGTCCTGTTGCCAACTGTAGGACTTTCAAGAGAGCCCAGTCCTGTGGCCCGTTTCCTAAAGAGATCTGTGGCGCCCATTCCACGCAGCCCTTGGGGTGCCCTCCCTCCCTCCCAGCCTTGTCCCTGTTGTGCAGATCGGGGCATCTCTGCACAGGGCATGGCGGGGAATAGGTTGCCTCTTGGGGAGAGGCCCAAATGCCCAGGGCTCCTGGGTGGGCGGAAGCCGGCAGCCCTCCCCTCCCTTGCCAGCCTCACCTTGGAGTCTTTGGCATAGTAGAGGGTCCGGCCACGCAGCTTGAAGAACCTTCTCTTCCACCGCTGGAACGAGCTCGTCTGCTTCAGCAAGAGCCCTTCCTTCACACTCTTCTGCAAAGAGACGGACAGCCTGGGAGATTCAGACACGGTCGCAGCAACCTCGGGGAGTCAGTGGGTCTCGCCCTGGGCCCCAGCAGCTTCCCACAGGGGTGCCCTCAGCATCTGGGCTTCTTCAGCCCTGGTCTACCCGTCACCTGTTGCCTTTGGAAGGTCTGTACGGGCCTGGCAAGGCAGAAGCTAGGAGACTGCCCTCCTGCCAAGGGCAGCATAGGGAGGGAGGCTCTCCTCTGTAGCTTTGCCCCCCCCCCCGCCCTTGCCCTTGCCCCAAGGCTGCTCCCCTCCTGGCAGGGCCAAGTCTCCACCGCAGCCCTTGCTGGGTGGGCTCCTTCCTGCTTCTCTCCTGCCGCCGCTTCAAAGGAGGGCAGGGCACCTGGGGCCACCAAACGGCGGCTGGACGATCAGCGCTCCAAGGCGAGGAGGAGGAGGAGGAGGAGGAGGAGGGCAAAGGTAAGGTTTTATTGGAGAGCCCGGTGCCGAGGGATCAAAAGCTCAGCACAGGAACCGGAAAAACCTGATCCTCCCTTGGGGAAGGAAGCTGCGCACCCTCTGCCCGGGGGAGCCCAGGCAAGCTACCAAGCACTTTTGACCCGTGACGCAAACCCCTCAACCCAGAGAGGGCTGTGCCACGCTCTCCCGGTCTTGGCAGCATAGCCTCAGCAACAGCCGCCTGTCCAAGTCTTGGGCCAGCCTGGCAGAGAGGCGTAATCCAGGGCAGCCAGAGAAGGGCCGCTGAGGGAGGCTGGAACGCCCATTCGGCTCCTTGGTGGTCTTGGGTTCCTCTCTCCCCCCCCACGGCCTCCACGCCACAGATGAACCCGGGATGGAGCTTCCCCTCCCCCAGGGATGTCCCCTCTTGCCCAGCAGCTCCCCGGGAGAGCCCTTCTTTCAAGAATCTACCCCCCCCCCCCCGAACCAAGGCAGGAGCTCAGCTGATTGGATTCTCTGTACGAAGAAGGTGACTCCCGGTTTGCCAACCAGGGTTGGCTGCTCTTTGAGCTCAGGCTGCTGGCTGGCAATTGGACTGACAGGCAGCCAAGAGGCAGAACCAAGTCTGATCTAAGCCGCTCCTCCCGCAGGCAAGGCTGATGTTGATCAACCCCAGCCAGCCACAGATCCACAGCCGACCATGGTTTGTTCTGGAGGAAGACCAGCCCTCCAGGGGCTCCAGGGCCCGGCACCTGCTCATCCAAAAGGCACTGCCGGAGCTGACCTGGCAGGACGACCAGGGGCTCCACTCGGCCCGCTGCTGCATCCAGGGCTCCAGAGATCCTGCGGGACAAGCGGCCTCTGCAGCCCAGCTGACCAGGCCCTTCGTACCCTCAGGGCAAACGGAGGGCGGCTCCTTCCTGCACTGGCTGCGCTCGTGAATGAATGACCAGGCCAGAAGGAGGAGCATTAAGTCCCACCGGACCTTTGGGCAAAGAACCTGCTCTTTCCATGCCAAGCCCCACTCAGTGGGGAGCCCGAAATGCAGGCAGCGTTGGCTCCCGAGGGGGGGGGGCACCGTGGCTGCTGCACAGAAGCCGCCCCCTTCCCCTCCAGGCCCTGCCACCCCTTCTGCCTTTCCAAGGAGGTGACTTTGCTCTGCACTGGCGCCTGGGCCGGGGGCCGTCCTGCCATAGAGGCACAAACAAAAGGGCGAGGAAGCTCGGCTGGATTGGCAAGCATTGCCCGGCCCAGCCCAGAAGAGACCCAGCAACTGCGCACACCTGAGCTCCCCCCATCCCCGTGCCTTCAACCTGGTGAAGGGGGGACTTTGGGGAGCGCACCTCTCCTTCACGCCCCAGACTCCAAGGAGTTCCTGCCTGCTTCCACCCTTCTGCTGGAAAGCAGAGAAGCTCCCCCCCCCCCCCCCCCGCAAAGCCAGCACCCCCCACAAAGGGCCCTGGAGAAGCTGGCCTTTCCCAGGAGCCCATAGCCCAGCCATTTGGCAACTGACAGCCCCGTGGCAGCTTCTCTGCCCTCAGCAAGGAGACCGTGCCTGCTGTTGACTCCTGGGCCAACTTCTAGCCCCGGGTTGGGACTGGCAGCCCGTGGGAACGTCTGGCAAAATGCAAGCCAAATAAATGCAGAACTGCTGGCTGGCGCAGTTTTTCTTGGCTCTTTTGATTTGTTCCGGAAGCTTCTTCTCCAAAGCACCCTCGGGAGAGCGCACGTGCGGTGCTTTTAGAAACATTTTTATGCCACCTTTCAAACAGAGACTCCTGAAGGGCATGTAACGTGCTAAGCCATTAACATTCAGAGCAATCCTATAGCATGAAACCCGGCTGAGAGAATACAGCGACCAGGGTAGTTTCTAAGTTTCTAAGCACATACGTACATAGGAATTGGGCAGCAGTATACGTTTGTTAAATAAATAAATATAAATATGTTTCAAACGAGCGCAAGAAGGCAAATGAGCGGAAGGGCTCTTCACTCAGAGGGGGCTGCCCATTCCTAAAGAAGCGGTGGGGGGGGGGAGGAAAGGGCCTCAGCCGCGTTCATTTGGTGGGGGGGCTGTTTCTGCCGGGGGCGGCCGTCCAGAAAAAAGCCAGGCCAAGCTTGGTGGCAGCCAAGCAAGGACTCCCCGCTGACAAGGGCTGCCTGTGTCTTCACGGGGACTCAGGAAATGCGGCTGCAATTCCCAGTTCTCTTGAGCGCTTGCCACTCCTCTTCCTGTCTTTCTCACCCACGGGTGTGGGGGTTTTTTCTCATAGCTGGGCATTGCAAAATTCACTGAGACTGGAGGCAAGGGAGGCTACTGGTGGCGGCGGCCAAGGGCTCAACTCCAAGCCTCCCCCCCCCCCACCTGAGTCTTGCCAGGGGAAGTGGCTGTGGCAGCGCCCTTCCCAGGGCCAGGCAGGCAGGCAGGCAGGCCGCCCAGTGGCTGGAGGAGTGAACCCCACAGTCTCTTGCAGCTGCCAAGGAAACAGGGCTGGCGGCACAAGGCGGCTCCTGTGGCCCTCAGGCCTGGGGACTTGGGGCCCTGCAGTGCCTAGGACCAAAGTGAGGGAGTTGGCCTGCGGTGCGTGAGGGAGGAAAGAGGCCGCTCTCTGTGCTGGGAAGATGGCACATTGATTTTCAGCCAAGGAGGCCACTGCAAACTGACGTCAATATCCGAAGGAGGAGGAGGAGGAGGAGGGAGATGGCGTAGGGGCTATCCTGATGATCAGCACATTAAACCCTCCTCTTCCCCCTCCCCAAATTAAACACCTTTCAGCTCTGAGGGGGCTTGTAGACCAGAAGGGCAGACAACGGGGTGCAGACTCAGGCAGGGAGAAGAAGGGGGGCAGAGATGAGGGTCTTGGGCTACCTGGCCAGCACCCCAGAGAGCAGCAGCCCACAAACGCGCTCCCGGCCCCAAGCCGGCCCAAGTCACTCTTCACACTCAAGGCGGCAACGGCAGCAGGACGGTTGGCGGAGCTGATGTGATCATCGGGTAGGAACAGCTCAAAAGAGCCCCTGGGGCTGGCCCAGAAGCGCTCGGCCAGGCAGCCTGGCCAGGGACTGGGGGAAGTGTGGGGCTGGGAGGGGCCCTGCTCAGACCAGGAGAGACAGCCTAGGATGCCAGGACTGCAAGCCCATCATCCACTGCCCCCTCAGGAAGGGCTTGCACATGGACCCTCGGCCTCTTCAGGGGCCTTCTCTGAGGGGACGTGTTGGAGCTGGCTGGGCCTGCTTGGGGACCCTATGGAACCTATTAGGTCATCCAGGGTGACGATGCAAAGGGACGGGAACTTGTTTGAGCTGGGGTGCTTCCATGGTGGGCAAAGAAAGGCTGTAACAGGCTGAGACCCCCTCCCCGAAGAGCCCCATGATGTGGGCAACCTTGGCAGCAAGGAACCCAAAAGGGAAGCCCACCTTTGGAGGGGGTAGCCCCTCAATTCCTTCTCCAAGGGGGGCTTAAAGGTGGGAGAGGCACAGCTGGCAGGGCGGCCCAGTTCAAGGATGGCCTGGCACAAAGAGGTGAAGGGCCAGTGGGCTGCCCTGATCCGGGCTCCTTGCGGCCGTCTGCCAAGTGCTTCCCACAGGCAGAAGGGCACAAGTCATAGCAACCCATCCGGGGAGCCTCCAGGCCCGCTAAGTGCAGCACAGACAGGAAAGGGCAACCCTAGAGAGGAGGGGGCAGCCTCACAACCCCTCCTCCCCGCAGGACCGGAAGCCTTGCAGCTTGGCAGCAGGGCACATGTCCCCAGGGGTGGCCATTGGGCGGAGACCTGGGCTGGGTAAGGCAATCCTTGGGCCTGCTCTCTGCCTGGGAAGAGCCCAACCCCCCTACCCAGAAGCCAAGTGCCTGCTGCCCCGAAAGCGGTGGCCCCTTGCGAGAACCAATGCCCCCCCCCCCCGCTCTGCCTCTTGGCTCCCCACAAGGGCACCGCTACTTGGGCCACTGTTTTCCCTTGCCCATCCCAGGGAAGGGCGTGTCGCCTGGGCGGGCTGGGCCAGTTGCTCTTGCTAGGCACCCCCCCCCCACACTCCTTCCTTGAAGGGAAAATGGCTGCCACTATGAGGGGACCCATTGCTCACCCATCCAAGACAGACGGTGGCTGCAAACCCTCCTCTTTGGACCCCTTTATGGAGGCCACTGGGGCCACTGCAGCTTGTTCTGGAAAGGAAAAGTGTTTCCCGCTTTGGGGCATCAGGAAGCAGAAAGCAGAAGGCGGGCGATGGAGGGGGCTGAGCTGAAGGGAGTCTGCACCCAGAGGCAGCGGAGGAAGGCTGGACGTCCCCCCCACCCAGGGGTACCCAAGAGCTGCTAACTCTCTGAGGGGATCCTCACCCGCTGAGTGGTGGAAGGACCCCCAGGGGAAGTGGAGAAAGTCTTGGCGCTCTCAGGCGCCTCAGCCCGGCCACAGGGGCGCTCTCCAGGGTGCTGGGAACAGCCCAAGCCCAAGCCAAAACATTCCCCAGCCGGCTCCAGTCTGCGCCCGCTTCTGCTCAGCTTCCTTCGCTCGGAGGGGAGGCCAGCGAACCTTCCCACGGCCTGATCACACACGGGGGGACACGGGGGG